ACGATTTTGGCGATAGCGGTACCCCTTTCGCCTTGTTAGCACCCAGTAACCCCTACTTACTCTTGTTAAAGCGAGAGCGCGTCCAAGTGTACATACCAGTTTCCTGAGCCGATCACAGCAACCCGGTGCTTGCGCTGATAAGGTCCGAGAGAGCCCATTGTCGTGTGACTGTCTAGAAAATCACTAGACTGTCGAGAATGTGTGTAGGAGAAGTGCCGAACGGGGTGGGAAAATGAGGGATTAAAGTTTCTTGAAGGGGCAGAAAGCGGCGAGGCCCTCGGAGGTAATAAAGTAGGAAGGAGGCGCTGGGGTGTTTGGGGCCGAGGTAGAATCACAAGTGTCTTCCAGCAAGGTGGACGAGACCAGCGGCGTGATATAAGGCGGACTGGAGACTGCATCCACATGCAAAGGTCACAAATGAGATCAGTGAAGTTGGTCTGCCGAAGTGTGGTGGGTGGCAGTGTGGCTCCCTGATGTAAGAGCAAGATAAAGGGACGGGTTCGATAGCCGTAATAGTGGATCTCCTCCTTCCCAATTGAAGATACAAAGGACCTCGGAGGCTTGAGGGAAAATACTGATGGAAAGATGACGATCAAAACATTCCCTGGGATTTTCTGTACAACATCAACCCAGTTTTGGTTTAGCAGTGTTAGCAGTAGTGTAAGAACTTCCCCACCGGTGAGAGATCTGTATCAGGTTGTTCAACCAACGAGAAACAGGCTTGTTGGACAGAATCTGACCGAGAGGATTTGCCTCCGACCGACCAGCCTAGAAGGAGCCACGCTAATCATGTGCCAATGAAGTCCGAGGCCTTTTACGGCTCTTCCGATTCGGGGGAGAAAGTCGGAGACTGACAACAACCCGGGCGGTGAACGCAGGGGCTCGAACAATTTGTTGCACTATTCCACAAGAGGCTTAATTCCAAAAAATAGTCGGCAGTTTCAACAATTTATTATCAATTATACCTAATAATCACGAGCACATGCGACTGAACTCTTTCCCCCTCTGTTCCAGTTCAGTAAGAGAGAATAAACTGCACAGCCATGGTCAGTCGATTCTACTCCACTATTCGCTGCAGAACTTCCCCCTGACAGGTCGAATTATCATTCTAGGCCCCCATCAGACCGGCAAAGAAACAGGATGCCGTCAAGAAGCCCGCCAGCGGGAGTGGCACCTTTCCTACAAACTCGAGTCTCTTCGATGAATTTCGCACGACTAAGAAAGACAAACGCTTGATCAAGCATGCCAGCTTCGTTTCAAAGATTGAGAAGAGCTCGAATAAGAACCACAAACGGCGACGTGCCTCGAAAAAACTCGTCACAAATCTGGACTCCCTGGCGGATGCCCTACCCGAAGCCGAGGAAGACTTGAACAATTCGAGCAACCAGGTGAACATCATCAAGCAGAAGACTATGAAACATAAGAAGGGTGCTCAGAAGCGCAAAGAGAAGCTAGAGAAGGTCGAACGAGACAGATTCGCAATGAACATGGCACAGCTGTCAAGCATGGAGACGGCTGCTTCGTCGAATGCCGATGCGACCCCCGACGCCAATGCAGGAACCAGTCGATGGGCAGCATTGCGAAACTTCATATCCCAGACAATGGAACAACAACCTGCCTTCAAGACGAATCAATGAGATGGAGGGAGACATTGGAGGCGCAGGCGTCTCGGTAGCAGCTGGGTCAGAGAATCTGCTTTGCTTGGAATAAAGCGAGCATTCATTCGAGAGCTACTCGGTGAAGGGATCTCCAGATGCAATTTTATGCCCCAATCGTGATGATTCTTCTTGGCTCATCTTGCTCAAAGTCACCCATAGGGTCTGCATCGAAATGATGTAGACGTTTGAGCAGCCACGGCCACAAACTTCACATCGGAGCTCGTGCACTGCGACTTGCCAAGTAAGAGACACACGCATGCTCAGGCATTGAATGTTGTGTTTACATATCAGCTCGGCGCATCTCCATCGTTCACTGAGCATGAAGATACGGGCGCAGGACGATTGAAATCATGCTGCAACTTGTTTGTGTGCTTGAAATCCCTTGTCAAATGACTCAAAAAATTTACATGACTGCGATTTGCCCATATAACTGATCAAGGAATCAGAGGTTTTCTATGCATATCCAAAATACTTTTGTATTGTTGATTCACTCGTTCCGGTCCGGAATATGACGGGAGGATTCTATTGTCGCCTGGTCTGGCGTATCCGTAGCCCAATTCAGCATCTAAGGCAGTCAGACTAAAAAAGTCTTACGTTGGCAGACATCGCTTGATATCAACAAAATCCAGACCCTATTCAGTCCGTACAATCCAGACCACGTCATCTGCGGATAGCATCGGTTGATAAGCATCACGTGCTGCGGGGAAAGCTATCGGTCGGGTTGATTGTGTCTTATCAGCCACCATCGGAAGCGACGTCTCCGAGAGCTCCTGTCCTACCTTTCCAGGCTTCTTCTCCCATCTCCTCTATTCAAACCTTATAATTTCCATCTGGAGAGGATTAGATTAGAGCATCGTCTGTACTTGTCCCATTCTCACGGTCATGCTGCGGTCGCCTCTTCGGGCGTGCGGTTCCCCTAGGGTGCACCGCTACTCTGTCCTCCGCTATCGGCATGCGCCGAACTCGCAATACCAAGGCAATGGTCGTGGGTTCACAAATTCTTCAGCAACATATCCCACACTTTCTCAATTCGATCGATCGGACTTCACCAGTCAGCCATGGACTGGAAGTTATGAAGCAGGGTTGCCAACAGCTGGGCCTCTCGGGTCTACTCCGGCCTTCGGGGCCCCGCGGGTCACGCCGAGATCCTTGAAACAGTATCTAGATCAGTTTGTAGTGGGACAAGATCGTGCCAAGAGAATATTGAGCGTTGCTGTGTTCAATCATTACCAACGAGTGCAAGAGCTGCAAAGGCGAGAAGAGGAAAACGCAGAGTCACTGGCCAAGCGCGCACGCAGGGAGGCACTCGAGCGCCACCCGGTCGAGGGTAAGACATCCGCAGTCACTTTACGAGCCAAGAATCTTGGTCTTTCGATAGACTCTAACTTGCATACAGATGAATTTCCAGGTCAACAACGAACCGTCCCTCTCCCTCCGAACGCGGATCTACTTGCGCCCACGACGGCCCCGGTTGAACTCGAAGACTCGCCAGACTCGTCGCCACTGCAGCTAGAGAAGTCGAATATTCTACTCCTGGGACCATCGGGTGTTGGCAAAACGTTGATGGCGAAGACATTAGCAAGGATCTTGTCGGTCCCATTCAGCATCTCCGATTGCACTCCGTTCACCCAGGCCGGCTACATCGGCGAAGATGCGGATGTCTGCGTTCACCGGCTGTTGGCCGCGGCGAATTACGATGTGGAGCAGGCCGAACGAGGCATAATTGTCCTGGACGAGGTGGACAAGCTTGCAGCCACGAAGATCAGCCACGGCAAAGATGTCAGTGGCGAAGGAGTACAGCAAGCTCTTCTGAAGCTTATCGAGGGTACAACCGTCCAGGTCCAAGCGAAGCAGGAGAGGAGCGCGCCTCGCGTCAACAACACCCCGAACACATATCCGTCGAACAGCCCTTTAGGCAACTCCCCGTTCACCCCACCTGGAGGGGGACATGGTCCGCAGAAGGGAGAGGTCTACAATGTGCGTACCGATAACATCCTCTTCATCTTCTCCGGTGCTTTTGTCGGCTTGCACAAGGTCGTCATGGATAGGATAGCCCGTGGCTCAATCGGCTTCGGTCAGCCGGTTCGGGCGCAGTCAGGCTCCTCCGAGCGTGCAAGGGAATCAGGCTCGGCGAATAATAACCAGCCGGTTCCCATTCTCCCTGGCTCCGAAGAGGAAGCACTCTACCAAAAACACCTCCCCTTTTTCAACTCCGCCGCATCCGCATCACCCAACGGCGAGCCAGCCTATTTCAACGCCCTAGACCTATTGAACCCAACAGACTTGCAGAATTACGGGTTCATCCCGGAGTTAGTGGGTCGGGTTCCGGTCACAGCTGCACTATCAGCGCTGACGGTCCCGTTACTCGTCCGCATTCTCACCGAACCTCGCAACTCCCTACTCGCCCAGTACACGACCCTCTTCTCTCTTTCCGGCATCGAGCTCCGCTTCACAACGCCCGCGTTGCACAAGATCGCCGCCAACGCATTCAACATGGGAACAGGCGCCCGCGCTCTCCGAACCGAGCTCGAGACGATCCTCAGCGACGCGATGTTCGAAACCCCGGGCTCCAGCGTCAAATTCGTGCTGGTCACCGAATCCGTGGCGGAGCGCAAGGAGAAGCCGATCTATCTGTCCCGCGGGCAAGGCGGGCGCTTCCATTCTCTCATCGCCGCCGAGGAAAGTAAATGGGAGGAGAGGCTGCGGCGCGAGAAGAAAGCCAAGACCAAGGACAAACAGCCCAAGCCGCAGACTTCGCCTGAGATGCATGCAATCTCGAACTTCAAGGAATACCGTAACCGAGCAGCTGGCTTCTGAGGAGAGGCTGATGATCCTTGGTCCGCTCACATCCTCGTTATTTCCATCTTCTATCCCTATCTCCCTCTCCGTGTAGCTTTCCACATGCAGCGATTGGCCTTTTCTGTTTGGTTCGTTTGGCGCTGGGGTAGCTGGGTTTGCACAGTTTCTATCTCAGAGTAGTCCTTTATTTTGTATTTCCCATATGCGAATATGCATCCTCTTGTGAATATCATGAGATCATTTGTACTGTTTCCTCCCTTCTTGGGAGTTCTCAAAACGAGAAACCCACCAGATGCTTAAGAATATTTCAACGGAAGAATGGAACGGACTTGTAAGCTTCAAAGGGTTCTAACTTCCTCAGGTATATTTTGTAACAAAAACAACTCCACGCTGAAATGTGTAACATGAGCCTTTTTGAATACTTGCATGAGAAGGGGCTGTTTTCAGGTTTTTTCTGTTCAGATTAAAGGAGCTTTCCGAAAACTTGTGGCCACCAATAACATTCATGATCGGCTTCAGCATCGAAACAGAGTGTGCGATGCTTCATTGGTAAGGCTCGGGATAGTTATACTGCGCCGACGCCGAGTTCATAGTTTGCGTGAGCCTCGAAGCTTTGTGTTCAGTGGGCGCCGCACGAAGGCCGCCCGGAGTACGCGGCGTGTAAGGCGATGCTGCCTGATGGCTGTGGTGGTCCTTTGCTCCGCCCTGCGAACCGGGCTTCTCGGTCAGCTTGCTCCAATAGTATCTGTAGTCGATCTTGAAGGATTCAAGGAATTCCCTCGCGCCGTGTTTGAGCTCGATGTGGTTCCACTCCGCCCACCGCGGGACCTTCAGGCCGGGGCTGGTGACGACCACGAATCGGCGGTACAGATGGTTATTGACGAGGGCCCAGCCGGCGAAGAATTCGACCAGGTGGTCGGCATCGAGGTGCGCGCGCGACAGGCCGGCGGGGATGTCGGGGTTGTCTTTCTCGGTACGCGACCCGTAGCCCTGGAGCGTGGGAGGGGAGATGGCGTTGCTTTCGAAGTACTCGTCGGTGCAGCCTGGTAGGATTTGGCCGGAGGCAGTGTCGTAGGCGGAGGGGACGCAGAGTTGCGAGATCAGACGGTACATGGTTAACCAACTGGGTTTTGGAAAGGGGTGAATGATTGTTAGCTTTCGCGTGATGCTGCTGTCGGAGGGAGAGGGTAGTCCAGGTTGCTGGGTCGCAGGAACTCACTTTTCTTGATCCGCCTGTGGACTGGTTTCGTGTTGCTGGAGAACCCAGTTCAGGACATCAGGGCGGAACATCATCTTCCAATACCCCGGGATCTTCTTCCTCATCCAATCGTTCATCCAGGCAAGCAAGACGATCGTGCCATGCTGCTCACGCACCATGAATTCCTCGGTCATCAAAATGACGCAGCCGTGGGGAAATATGCGTTGAAAGTGAGAAGGATGGTCGGCGAATTGCAGCGGCTTGACCAACGAAACGCTCCAAAAACCGACGGAGGATTTTCCAAGGAGTTGTTTGAGGAATGGAAGTGTGTGGAAGGCCGCAAAGCTCTCGTGGAACTATTGAACAGTCAGCTCAGAAGCGAAGTTGAAGCGAACCAGGTCTAGAGGACACATACGAACACGACTCCGTTAGAGACTGTCCGCGCAAACTTCTCCCAGTCCCCCTCATACCGGCTGGAATATATGACTGGGTTGTAATGTTTGAGGAACTCGGCCAACAGCTGAAACTCTTCGGCATGAACCGGATCTTCCGGGTACATAAGGTATAGTACCTTTGCTAATTGAGTTTTCGACCCTGCATTCACCTTGACCAAAGTCTCAAAATTCACTTCGAATTGTTTTTTGAAGACATTCTTCAGATTAAGCTCATCATCAGTGAGAGATTTCTTCTGTTCAAGAGCCGGTGGTGGCCCTTCATGATCGATATCCATTGCTTCAAATCCAGCGGGTTCTGGTAGAGAAGGGTCGGTATTGATGTCTTCGAGTAAATTCGGTAGGCTGGGCTCGTTCACAGTAGCCCCTGCTACGTGTTGTTCAGGGGACATGTGACGTTTTAAAGCGTTCTCTGTCACGGTTCGATCTTTCATGGATCTTGTAAACTCCCTTTTGGTCTCTTCATACCCCTCTGTGATTGACAAATGGTCGGATCTATTCAAATTCTCGGCCGATCGGGTGATCTCGGTTTCAGGATATCGTGGGTTTGACTTTTGAACGTGTGCGTTATGGCGAAGTTGCTCAATGGAATTCAGGGATTCTCTAACATGAATGTGAAGATACACATCGGGGATGTCCTTGCGTAGATTGCTCAGATCTCGAAAGCCGAGTGAATCGGGAGGGTAAGCGAGAAACGCCAGCCCCACTCCCTCAAAGTTGTATATAGCCACAGTGTTTTCTTGCTTGAGGTCTTGTGACATTAGGCGGATATCGGGTGTGGTATCGTCATATCCTTCGATCCAACCAACATCATAGGCTCTGCCCATTGCCTGGGATTCGATCAAAATCAGTTATCAAGGCATGCCGTTGGGTTTATAGATTAAAACGGAGAGGTGGGCTTGAGTTGAGGTGCTTTGAGACCAAAGAACACGTAACATGACACTCACATTCGGAGCTATTGTTTGGTATTGATCCAATGTACAGACATGTTGAAACCAAATGTCAAGGCTGTGGCCTCTCTTGTGCCTAAGAAGCTGAGCTCTTATCCTATTCCCGAGGCCACAAAGCCTAGCGGCGCCTATAATCCTTCTATCCGGACCGTATAGGATCCGAACTAACAGCTCGCCAAGGCCTACAAGCCGTAGACCTGACGGGGTCATGATTTTTTTCGCTCGAGGTGGTCTGCCCGAAAATGGTTCATGGCCCGATTCGTTGCGCGTTTCCCCCGGCTCAATCACTCGGGTAGTATTTTCATCCAGCTTTTCAGGAGACCTATTTCGGTAAGACCCAGAGGCTGCTGAATCAGATACAGGTGCGGGTTGTATGTCTGAAATGCATTCGGTGGCTCTAGTAGGGCCGATGGGAGGGTTTTCAGGCCACTCTGATGGTCGTCTCAGGTCCAAGCCGTCAAGGACAGGATCTAATTCTTTGGTTCTGGCCTTCTGGTGCCAATACTTCGATGATAGATTTGGAAACCATTTGCCTGAATTCATACTCGTGCTCGCGTGGAGAGAGCTCCGACGCTGCGGGTGAGCTTGAGGTGGCTTGCCACCGCCGAACAAGACCGGAGGTACTTCCCGGTGAACGCGCCTCTGTGCCGGTGCTCCTGGACCGCTGGAATGGCGTCGAGCCAAAGGTTTCTGTAGAGGTCGCTGTGAATCAGTTCTCTGCGCAGCTTTGCTTGTCCCAGCTGATGCTCCTAGCCTTCGTCTCTTAGCTTCGCGTTTGCGCTTGCGGTTCTCTCTCCTTTCTTCAAAGTCTTCCATGTATTGCAGCCAGGCATCTACATCAAAACTCTTGCACTTTCCTGCTGCGATATCGTTCTTTTTCCGACGCCAGTCGAGGATTGTTTGCCCATCACTGAAGGCATCGGCAGGTTCCCAGGAGTTCCTCTCAGGAGGATAGCCAGCCCATTGCACCAGATAGCGGACACCGTCCTCGAAACGCTGCTCAGCTAGGACTTGCTCGACTTCATATTCCGATTTTGGCTCACTCTCAACCGTCGAAGTGAGCGAAATGTCATCCTCATCATCATCTTCTTGGCGGGGAACCATTTTACTTTCTGCAAAGTGAGGCCAGAATGAATACAGCGCTGGAACGTTTCTAGTGCATGGGAGCTGGTGATTGCCAGTCCAACTTGAAACAAATGAGGTGAGATCCTAACATGGATCTGGCCACATTGAGCAACGCTTTCCTAAGTCAGGTTCTGAGAGTTTAGTCCACGGTGAATGACGGGCAGTCAGTCTCTTGTGGGGACCGGTCGGAATATAGATCGGTTTCCTAATATGGCAGACCAATGCGTACTTAGTCGGAGGAAAGAGTTGTAGCTGATAAGTATTTGTGGAGAAATTGAACACTGCGAGTTGAGGTGATCCCCTTTATTGGGCGAGTAAATAGATAGATACTTCCGGGAACCCCCTGCGGCGTGCAGCACACTGCATCAACTTGATATTTTGAGTCGCAAGTTTGTTGCTGGGGACGATAAAGATTATGGGATCACGTGACAAGGGCACTAATCCCGAAGAGGCGACAGTCCAGTCGGGAATCGGTAGGGGAGGAAGAGGTGGACGGAGAGAGAGAGAGACTAACCAGGAGAGAGAGAGAGAGAGAGTCTGGATAACCTCCTAATCTCCCTTCCCCGGTGTCCACCCCTTAGACTTTCCCGGTAAGTTACTCTTGTTGCCTTGTGGATTTAAGACTCTTATCTGCGCACCCTGCTGTGTTCCTCTCTTTCCCTCTTCTCTTTATTATTGCAGAGACTAGGTAGTGAAGTACTAATCAGAGCACTGCTGCCCCTCGTTTCCAGAAAGTGAGATTCAACTGCTGTCGGTTTTCCCGTGAATCGCCTGCCACACACCCCAAAACACATCGAAAACTCTCCCCGTTCTATAAATCTTACCTGTACCAGAGCTTAGCGAGCTCACAAAATACCCATTATGGCTAACGACGAGTATGATGTGAGTGACCCCTTTCATCTAATCCTTCCCTCGTTGGCAGACCTGTAATTGACGAATGTCGCTGGCAGTTCCTCTTCAAAGGTAAAGTTGCCACTCTTATCCCTCCCCCCCTCCCCGGCAGTCGCCTCTCGTCACCGTTCCCTACCAAGCAGATCGCGTTCGTGTCAGGATCTCGGCTGACGTGCGACGGCTTCCTTCGTTTCTCTGAACAGTTGTCCTCATTGGAGACTCCGGTGTTGGAAAGTCCAACCTCTTGAGTCGATTTACTCGCAACGAGTTCAACCTGGACTCCAAGTCCACCATCGGTGTTGAATTCGCAACCCGCTCCATCCAAGTCGATTCGAAGACGATCAAGGCGCAGATTTGGGATACTGCTGGTCAGGAACGTTACCGTGCCATTACGTCCGCTTACTACCGTGGTGCCGTTGGTGCCTTGCTCGTCTACGATATCAGCAAGCACCAAACCTACGACAATGTCAACCGGTGGTTGAAGGAGCTTCGCGACCATGCCGACTCTAACATCGTTATCATGCTGGTCGGTAACAAGAGCGATTTGAGACACCTGCGCGCTGTGCCCACGGAAGAGGCCAAGCAATTTGCCAGTACGTGGATGTCCTTTGTTCATCGGGCTGGACATGCTCCTTTGTCAAGCGGGCTAGTATGCTGATGATATTCCGACAGGCGAGAACAACCTTTCCTTCATTGAAACGTCCGCTCTCGACGCAAGCAACGTCGAGCTTGCTTTCCAGAACATCCTCACAGGTACGCTTTCGCCACGCATCCATGCGCCTGCTTCTTGACGCTGACCCTCTTTGCAGAGATCTACCGTATCGTCTCCAGCAAGGCTCTGGAGGGCGGTGACGCGGGCCAGACCGTCCTGGGCGACCGTCGCGACATGGTGAGGATTGAGCAGTCGGATACCTCCGAGACCAAGCAGGGATGCTGTTAAAGAAACCATGACATCGGGGAATGTGTGACATGCCAACCGAAACGATTTTATTTTGTGATGTGATAATTGAACGGTCTTGAGCTCTCTTTCTGTCTGTTACTTAGCCTCCTGGAGATGATACACAAGAGGAACGTCGTTAGGAATGGCATTTGGGGTTATGGACATGGTATGGCGGTGTTTGCTGGACATCACAATACTCCCGACACCTTGTTTCTGGCACCTTTTTACGTCGTCGACTTTTATTCTCTTCCTATTTTTGTGTCTGTGGTTTGCACCTCATGCTTTTCTTTCTATACTCTAAAGATGACGAAATTGAATATTCTTGTGGATCTTCCTTGCGTTCTGCCCCTTGCATGTTATCTGTCCCACCAGGTTTTGAAGCCCTGATATGGCTTGCCCCCCTCAATGACGTGTAGATTTCCCAAAGCATGTGAAGTTAGTGAGTCAAGGGAGGAGAGGAAGCAAATTTGAGCACAGAAAGCCATTGTCCGTCCTCTCTACCTTGCAACAGGCTATCATCCCAAGGACCGAGACCCTGGGCGAGAATTTCACACCAGCATCGCGTCCACCCGCCTATATTACGTTCCTCTTATTTCCCGGCCTCGCCAGTTGTCCCAGACCATGGTCGAACGAAGCGGCCCACATCCTCACCGCGGGAGCCCCACGAGGCATTTCCGTTCCTGCTCCATTTTCCGTACGTTAGCTGGATGCATTTCTGAGTATGCAATTCAATAATACTCAAATCCCAGCCTGCCTTGTACGGCATACCCTGCTACATAGGTATTCCAGCACTCAAGCTATCAATCCAGGATACGAAGTACACGTAGAGCCATCCCTCCCCCCGTAGCAAATACACACGACGCCTCCTCCTACCTACGCACAGTAATCCCCCAAACAACCAGAACCGGCCCCATTTTTAATCACCCGCACCCTCCCCAAAAAAGAACACACACAACAATAAGTTGAACTCCACTCCACTTGGGAATTTTAGCCCCGGTTCCAGGCGGGCTCAGCCTCAGCTCTTTTCTGCCGAATGCCATTTCCCCGTACGGCTTAGGGTGGGCTGATCAGGGGGAAAAGAGAGAGAGAGAGAGAGGGACGGGACGGGTTGGCCGTTAAGGTGGTTGAATGCGGTGCAGTGTTCGAGTCGAGTCGCACGCGTGGACTCCCCCTCCTCGGGTGTTACCAGTCGATGCCCTGTGTTTCGTAGTGAGCTTGATTTTGTTTTTCTTTTTTTAGTGAAGTCGTGTGTATCGCGTGGGGTTTAGAGTTGGGGATATGGGATTGATGTACAGTAGATGGCTGATGATTAGCCGATGTTGGATGTTTTCGCGTTCTTATGACTGATTTCACCCTTTGGCTATGGGCTGGGAGAAGGGTCGCCAATACCTTATGGTGTCATATATGGACTAGATAGATCCGTGCTGGAAGGTCCAGGGATGCGTAGATGCTACATGGTCTTTGCTTGGCTTGGCTCGGCTGGAAGGGTGCTGTCTCGGGGAAGCCGCATACGAGGAAGCCGTTTACCAGGGGGCCATATATTCGACTGTAGATGACAAGACACATACACCAGTCTATGGATTCGGCAGCCAGACAGCACCGTTGCTAATCCCAGACGACCCCAATCCCACGATCGGCGATGGCGGCGCGAAACTCCCCAATATCCTCGCCTCGCTCCTTCATCACCCACTCCAGGGTGTCCCCGAATGTCTCCCCATTGTCCCGGAACCAGTCGCCCATGTCCCGCACATAGGCCTCGACCTGTTCCTTGAGCAGGGCGTGATCCCGCAGCCACAGCACCTGACCCGGATCAAGCTTCATCATGTCCTGCACGACGTAGTAGTGCGGGATCTCGTCCCCCCACCCTTCAAACCCGGGATCGTGGAACAAATCGTTCCGGAAGCGAGATTTGTACTTGGCCGAAGATTCGAAGTTGCTCGGATGAGTAGTGTGGAAGTACCGCTCAGCCACCGGATCGGAAGGCTTTGCGAACAAACTCGGGGGGGCCGTGGGATATTCGGGCGCCGCTGCCGCCGCCGTCGGGTAGTTGAGATGAATGTTGAACATCAACTGGTGGGTGCTCTCGGGGTATCGTTTCTTGAATTTACGCTGGATGGTCCCGTTGCTGGGGCAGATGTGGTTCTGCACGACATCCCCGATGATCGCGCGCACATCCTCGATCTCGGCCAAGTCGGCGGTGGACCAGTTGTGCAGCAGCTGCGCGCGTTCGCTGACGATATGGGGCAGGGTGCGAGTGAACCGGCTGTGGTCGTGCGTGTGGAAGGCGCGATGATACAGCCACAGACGGTAGATCGCGCGCCGGAGCCGGAATCGCTCCTCGTCGGAGAGCGTCCGGCGATTCTCGAAATCCAGCTTCCATTTTTTGAGAGGGTATATGGCCTCCCACTTCTGGGCCACGCACCCGATATGTATGATCTGTCGGAGAAGGGGGTCGGTCAGAGGTGCGGTGCGCGACACGTGCGCTGCCTGGCTGGTATTCTGAGTCACAATTTGGATGATATCATCTAGCGGGCCAAACTCGAGCTCCGCGACATTGTAGAGGATCTGTAGTTTATTGGATCGGTGGAAAACAGTGTGCAATCGACGGCACGTGGAGGCAAGGTTTATAACATCGGTGACACTTTCGCAGGAGCGGAATATATGGAGCAGAAGCTCCGCGGCTAGTATATTGAAGGACATGGTTCTGGACTATGGCTATCTTCATACGGTGTCAGCTCCATGTGAATATTAAGGCCGATCTCTGCATTGGAAGATTGATACCTATTGTAATATTTCTAAGAGAGTTTCGAGAGTGGTTTGTAGAAGATTAAATGACAAATGTCACTGTCAAGGACAGGGCTGTCGTCGCTGCAGGCTCAATATCCCTGCGGCCGCTGTCGCAATAGAGATTCGGACCTAGATCGCGACCCCACCCCTGGGGATTACCAAAACAGATGAAAAACGAGTAGGGACCGTTGCCATAGCGTCAGGAACAGGACAAGCTCCAAGCAGCCACGATGGGCTGGGGAGTGAAACAGATGCCATGATGTCTGTTAAGGAGTTGTAGTCGCGGCGATGGCGAAGCCGGCGAGGCGATAAGGAGAGGCGGGACGTCAGATCACTTGACACAATCGCCTTCCCCTTCACCCTCCCTTGTCTCAAAACCTAATGCACTTGTACATATGAATACCAAAAGGGGGCAGGGAGTGAGCTTTCGACATTCTAAAATTTGTAAGTCATATATGATGTATACGCTCCCTTAGTCCCTATCTCTGGGGCAATTTGGTGATTTTCGAAAAAGCCAATATGATAGCTCTCTACACAATGACTGCAAGTACACATATACAGAAGGGTTACTAATGACAAGAGCCAGATAGAGGCAAGCCATGACATGAATTGGGGGTCATCGAAATGAGCGCAAATTGAACGATAACGTCAAGTACTTTTATTATTGTCACACCAGACGCCTTGAAAGAGAACCATGAATGTACCCCCCCACATCAATACATATACATCCCTTCAGGATATCAGAGTCTAATAGGGCGTAGAAATAACAGAAGAAAGCGATGCGAAACAGAAAAGCGATTATGCGAACAGGTGCCGTGTGTCCAGAGCACCGGGCTTCTTCTCGCCGTCACCCAATCCCAGATTCGACCGCTTCGCGAAACGGTCCGTCTCCGCATCCCTGCGGTTGGCGTGGCGGGCGGCCTTGCCAATGCGGATGTCACGGCGGACCTGGTTGGGGCTCACGTATTCCTTGTTCTCGTAGATGACAGGGCCGCCAAAGCTGCCCTCCAGGATCACGATCGGCGTCAAGACAAAGCGAGGTCCAATCTCAACGAGAGAGATCTCCGGCTGTCCATCCTTCTTCTTGGGAGCGGGCTTCGCGTCCTTGCCCTCCTCCTTCTTGCTCTCGCCCTCAGACTCCCGAATCTCATAGACGCGGATCCAGATCTTGCCATCCACACCAAAGACACCAATGATGCGGTCAACAAACGGCTTCATACCCTTCACGCCACGCTTGGGAACGCAGAAGACACCGCGGATCATCTCCCTGATCAAACCCCGGTATTCGCTGCCGGGGGAGCTCATGAGCGGACCCTGCTCGTCGAACGAGCGATCGAAAACCACGAGACCCCGACCGCCCTTCAAGCAGTTTCCGCTGAACCCGGCATTCAGCTCGGCCATGGTGTGCAGGTTGTTGACGTGGAACTTGATGGTAGGTCCATTGGGAGGGCGCGCAAGCCAGAGGTACAAATCTTGACCCTGCTTACGAGCCTCGAGGAAGAAGATAACGTTGCAAGAGTGAAGATCGGCGAGAGAGTTCAGGAGGAGGTTGTAGCCAGCGGTCTTCTTTTTCGTGTCGAGTTTGCTTTCCTTGTGAGTGTGGGGGAGAAGAGAGGCAAGGTCTGCGAGCAGGTGTCGGTGGCTAGATAGAGATTAATCGGTTAGCAATCGAAGTCTCGTCCCTCAGCTCTCAAATTCAAATGTAGAAGAACACACCGATAGGTTACACCTCTGGAGGTCAACATCAGGACGCGAGTCTTGGGCATGAACCCAGAAGCAAGCTGCTTCTTCGCCGCTTCAGTAGTGATTTCCTCGTCGTCCTCGCTGTCGCTCGAATCGTCGGCGTCAGCAAGGAGTTCCTCCATTTCGATATCCTCCTCATCGAGCTCCTGCTCCCGGGCAATGCGCTGGGCGGCTTTCTTTGAAACAGTTTTGTAGACGGACGCCATGGTGAATGCGATATGCTGTGGTTTGTGAAAGTCCGAATCTGTTGATCACCCGCAAAATTCAGAAGATACCGGGCAGAATTATTTTTTGGTCTACACCGCCTTTGATGATCAACATCACGTGATTGCATCCACTCTCTCTGGACCGCTCAAGCCTTATCTGGTTAGTCTATCTTGCGAAGCTATTCACATTCATATGCAGTGCTCTGAATTCTTTCATTGTATCATTTGGCTCCGTAATCAATAAGCCGTATCTTGAGCTTGGTAATTCTCTTGTCACCCTTCACTCCTTCATCTTATCACTGCGATCATTACTCCCAACTGAATCGAGAAATAGCTAGCATCTTCTCAGTGCAATCGAGGTCGATTTCAGGCTTATTCTCTTGAACCTGAAAGCACAATACTCAAGCTTCAATGTCATCCATCGCCCTGTGTATCGGCAATCTCTACCCCTCTCTGTAGTATTATTGTGGCTTCGCTCCATGTAATCCCCACGCTTATAGCCGGTCCAAGACTGCTTCGAACATTTCCCTGTCGCCTTGCAGAACAATTGCGCCATGATGCAGATACCACGCTAGTCAGATATTCATCTCAACGTACAGAGTTCAGTGCACGATGAAGCCCTGAGAAGCCCTCTTGGGATACCTTCATTCCAGCAACTCGGTTTGCGAAGATTAGCTTTTGCAACAAACTCCATTCATCACGCCGGCAGAGAAGCGCGTACAGCATGCCGGCATTGAAACTATCGCCAGCACCAATCGTACTAATCAGAGTCAGTGACCGACGCAATACGCCTAATCCAGTAGCCGTGGTGCTTTCAGCCACTTGATTTCCACTTACTCCACGATACGAAAGTCTGGCGCGGTGTATGCGGGCTGATGAATCACATCTTTGGTCGCGGTACTCAGAGCTACTGCTCCATGTTCACCCCATGTGCAGCATAGAAGAGAGCTGGTGGTCAAAAGATCAGTAAATGAAGCATAGAAACACTGATGGATCTTGTACATACGCCTTTTTTGTCAGAGACGATTGTTCTTGAACACATTGCTCAGCCGATTTATACCCATTTCCCTACAGCTGTCAGCCTCGATTCCGGCAGGGACATGAGAAGCAGGAATATGTGTACCTGAGCCCAGCTCTTCGAGTAGAAAACAACGTCGGCTTCCTCCGCGAGTTCCTGCAGCCCAGGCCGTCCTGGCTTCTCTACTTCGACGCTGATTCTGACCGAGGGGAAATGTTGCCGCAGGTAGCGGATGCAGGCCAGGGTGACGTCCGGAATCCGACCCTATAGATCATGTCATTAGTCTCAAGCAAGAAGCCCTCTAGATGGTTCGCAAACCTCGAAATGGAACCACGAAACCGTCGGGCCTAAAGTGTTGGCAATCGTGACAAATTCATCAACGGTCATCTCCGGAAGCTCGTTGTAGTTGACGATGGTCCGGCTCCCCGTCGCCTGGCTTTTGAAGATGAAACTCGAAGCAGGCTCTGTTAGCTCGTCCCGGTAGATGCAGTGATCCATGTTCACGTGCGGTTCGAATGCCGCTCGGATCTGCTGCGAAGCAGCCGATGACCTGGAGGGCAGGATTGCAACCAGGTTTAATGATAGTGGCGCGGTCGATGAGCCGTGAGCTACCAATTGCTGCAGAACCTCAAGCGTGTTCGGGCAGTTGCCCCCTCTCCGGCGAGAGATATTGGAAGCACGAAGCTTTTCATCTTCTCCAGGGTAATGGGGAGTCCTGGTACATTGACGTCAGATATGATCGGACCGTTGACCGGAAGAGAATCCAAAGCCACCCACGTTAGGATCGTGTCTAGATAGCATGCGCCTACCGCAACGAGCGACATCCTGTTACTTGATTGTTTACTGCCGGGCATACAGAAGCTTAGATTACATTGGAAAAGCCTAATAAGTACTGCACGAGATTCGCCAGCGTTGAGAGGAGCAGCTTGACCTTGATTTGCCGTGGGATTAGTCATGACCCACTGTCGACATCATAGTACAGCTCTCCCTATTGCAAACCCCATTCTCCAAGCTCAAGGCACAAAAGGACAGTGCGAAATTGCGTTAAGATACAATACCAAGGTGTTACTCCCATCGCAATATGATTCTAGCTTCCCAGAAAAATCACAGTCATAGAAGATCAAATCGACCACAAATGAACAATTTCTGAAGCAGATTCGACAACAGAACCGTGGACATAGGGAAAATGTGCGGAGTATGAAGACTCAAAAGTATCGGACTGTAAGGCAATAGTGGCAGGTTCCGACAAAGACGGTTCAGGAGTTGAGAATTCGATCTGGATCAAATGGAAAAAATGGGTCTGCTCGCGCTATTTGCAAGAGACCGATCGAAGGATGCTCCCACAAAACCAGAGAATGGCATCGATCGACTTAGATGCATGTTACGACTTGTCTGTCATATCGTCAGAAGCCGTGACTAGGTATGCTCAGAGTAACGACTTACCTCAACAGACACGACCAAGTCCAGTCTCGGCTTGGTCAGCACGAGCCTGTTCTTCAGGAATTCCGGGTTCGATATCGCCCCCTTCGGACGTGCAATCATCCCATTCCTTGTTGTCATCAGGATCGTGCATAGTGGTATCAGCTTCGCCAGGCTGAACACCAGCGTCGACAGATCCATGCGGATTGGCAGAGGATGTGAGTAGTTCCTTGTCTGCCCTCGAACGACGCTTCCAGTCAGGAAACTTCTTACTCATGCGAGTCCCATATCTCTGTCTTCATGACCGGTTAGACACAGGAAGAGCGAGACATAGCAGACATCTTCCAAGCAAGGAAGACAGGAAACTCACCTCGCGGCGTTCCAACTTCCACCAATCCTGTCACCAACTTCCTTCCATTCTTCCTCACTAAGCTTAATCTTCTTGACATAAGCTATAGTTAAGAGCAGGTCTAGCTCTGCTGACTCGCTCCAGGCGAGTCTCTTTGCCTTATCCTTTGGCTTCGGGGTAGAGCGTGTCTTAGTGTAAGCTCTCTTTGCCTTATTAACAGCTTTCGCCATCGTGATAGTATGGGAAGAGTAATTGTGAGACTGAAAGCTAGATTAAACTTCTAAGAAGATGTGGGTGCGTGGGGTTAGGGGAGAGGGGGGAAAGTGAGGGGGGTGATATAATCCAAGAGAAACACGCATTACAAAGGGCCCCGGCCTAGTGCGGCAGCGCATACAGTAACCAGGGTCTGCTGACCCTTGCGCATCGACAAGTGAATAACTCAGAATCTTATTCTCAGCGTAGCCTAGCCTGACTCACCTCGTTTCATGTCGGCATGAACGATGTCATCGACATTTGCTGCCCTTTTTTCACAGTGGACTAAAGCTGTGTAAAACATGGTCGATGCCGCTCATCGGAAATATACCCGAGCTTACTATGTAGGTGGTGGATATAGCTGAATAACTTTACAGTTGAACTAGCTGGCTAGATGATGATGTTCTTATCTTGGCCTTCCTTCAGCCAGACAAAGACTGATCTACTCATATGAGGATATTGGGCGTTGTGATGGGGGTGGTAGTGAGATAAAGACTACTTTGCTTTCAACAGCAAAGCAAAAGGAAGCATGCTGAGAGCGATTAGGAATCTGTTTGCTAGCTCGCCATATCAGCGACTAGCTAGTAGTAAAGACTTGAGAGTTGCCGCGCTTGAGTAGGGATTCTTCATGGATTAGCACCAAGCTAGTATTTCACTGATGCTTATAACATGAACCCATGAGCATACTTAGGTACTTTTGGAGAGTTTGACTTTGAGTTCGTCTCTAAGGCTGAACTTCCGGACAAGAGTATTGTAAGGGAGAATATGAGTCTTTCTCCAGCTGATCCTGAAAGGCGACCTAATCCATGATTCTAAGAAAGCTTCTATCTGGCATACCACCAAGCACGAATTTGCGGCCGTCGACATACTCGCTATTTCTCGAGAGCCAAGGCAATGTTTGAAAATTGACGACTAATGACTGGCTCTATTTAACGCTGCGTTGCTCAAGTTTGGAAGGTAAAGAGTTACATAACAAGGAGATCTATATTCGCTGTGTAGCACCTACAAATAAGACCAAAGACAAGCTAACTTTGACCAGATTAAGTCTGTTGGATAGAATCATCTTTCGATTGACCTACTGATGCATTCGAATTTGGCCCTTTAGATGGCCAGATGAAAGGTGGCATTAATAGCTCGATTGTGTGGCAATTCAATTAAGTCTGGAACAGACAAAATCCTTCGAATGAGGCTATCTGGTATCTCTTTCAACTCTTGCAAGCTCTGCTAGTCGATCTGAATTGTTGAACCAGCTGTCGCAGTCTTTATCCTCTATCCGTCGGCCAAAGGTGTGTTCAGTCAGGGTATAACGAACCACGTGATCATCAGCTACTATTAGTGAAACAGTGAAACCCTACTCGCAGGCTGTAAGAAGGATATGGTGTAAAAACAAGGTCCTTGTACACGCTTTCTTTGTAGTTTTTCTTTGCTTAAACGTGGGTTGATATGCTCCATGCACGTTTAAACAATCCAGCGAATGAGGCTGCGATCACCTGCAGCATGCCACTAGCCGACATGCAGAAGCTCTCTACCAGAGTTGCATTATTGTTGGGAGAACTGTAGAGGCTCCGCAGCCTTCCTTTCAGAATGACCGGAATCTTTGTTGGTAATGCAGTATGATGGCGGCTGTGTGGCTAGATTATCTTGATGATCAATTCTAACCCAGGATCATAAATTATAAATTTCATCCTTCTACGTGCATCAAGGTGCAGGTTTCTCAGTCACTTCTCCAGATTTCTAGGAATCATCTACATACTTCGTGTCAAGACTACCCTTATACCACAGAAAGTCCCATCTCTTCTCTACTCCAAGCTCCACCATGCAGAATCCAAAACGTGGCAAGGCCGTGCCGACTGACACTCCGGCGTCCAAATTCTTGTACGCCATCCTCAAACAGTTGGATCTTAGATCGGTTTGTACCTCAGCCCAGAAGGGAATACTCCATCTTAATGACAACTCGCTAGGTTGATTGGAACCTAGTTGCCTCCGATCTCGAAATCTCCAACGGCCACGCTGCACGGATGCGATACTCACGGTTCAGACAGCAGATGGAGGGCAACGTTCCATCAACCCGAGCTCCCCGTGCTAAGAAAGACAGCACCAAGTCGAGCAAGGGTGGTTTGTCCAGCGAGAACGGCCAGAAGAGTCTTCCATCCCCTTCGCCCGAGCCAGCGGCGAACCAGGGATTTGCAGCTCCCTACGGCGAGCATATTTCCTCCTTGATGATGCCAACTCCTGGTCCTTCGCTCTCTCCTATGATGCCGCCCACTTTTCCAGCTGCACGACTACCGTACCACCCCCCTCCCCTTCCTACACCTGAGGTGAAGCACGAGCCTCTGGAGGCTACTTTCGAACCTTGCCTGGAGTCTATGTTTAAGCCCGAGCCCTACGATGAGCACGTCCCATCGCTGGTGGATATCCCTCTGACTACATCTTTCCCAATGTCGACTATCCCACCAGCTGTTGCGCCGTATACTTCTATGTTCACCAACTCAGGCAACCCGGTCATGTACCCATCTGCAGCCGCACCTCAGCCCGGGCTCCAAGCTGAGTTTCGACCTGCATTCCAGCCCGAGTCAGTCTACCACGAGCCCTTCGGAGCTCAGTACCCGAACAATCTCTGGTGGCCTAAGATTCAGCCGGATCAAGTGATAGTGGGAGAGGATATAGAGATCGAAGAAGAAATCAAGGAGGAGCCGCTAGAGGATGGTGATGCTACAAATGAGTAGGGTAGGTTTGGGTCTGGGAATTTGGTTTATCGCTGTCCCTATCGTGTTGTATGCTATCATGTTTGACTGCAACCGATGAAGCTCGTGGCCCAAGTCATCATCATGTTTGATGCGCTTTTGTTCCTCTTCTAGTCGAATTACAATAGTAACACATATCACTGGCAATATCACTTTTGTTTACTCTCTGTAGCAACCGCATCCTTCTGGAACCACAAAACATAAGTGAGGTACTCTGTAGTGGGCGTGTTACGACAGTTGGTTTGCTGGATGTGATCAAGACCTACCTTGACTGAGACTGATCCTCTCTTCACATCTGACCTTGCTCTGAACTGTTTCCATTCTTTGCAATCCTCCCTCGACAACCGCCTTATCAGTTCTAATATCTCCCACTATCACCACAAGTCCTTAGCACACGACTCTGATTCAAACCAATTCACTAGAGTAAGCCAATCTTCATCTTCAGGTCTTCCCAGCCAGCTAGAAGGGCGAGGACCAGAACGATTTCCTCACTATCTGTCTTGCATACTCTCCCCAGCAACCGTCCTCCTTTGATTGCACACATCCCCTCCTCAAAACAGTCCTTCTATTTGAATTTCCCCATCCACCATACAAGCTATCGTGTCAGACCCAATACTTCAGTCCAATCTAAAACCTGACTTCTAAATTCCCAGTCTACTCCACCTCAATCATCATGCCTGGCGCCAAGCAGGCAAAGTCTGAGGATGAAATTCCTCAGCCCGATGCTCAGTTCATTGTCCAATGTGTTATGAACATGACATCTGACAGACAGGCGAGTTCTCTTCTTCCTTGCGTTCTCTCACTACGTATCGCTAAGCATTCCATACAGGTCGATTTGAGCAGAGTGGCCGCTGCCCTTGGCTATACCAATGTTGCCTCCACCGCGAACCGATTCCGCGCCCTGCGCAAGCGTTATGGGTTTGAGCTCGAAGCCACCCAGACAGGTGGAAGCCCCACCAAGATAGACAGCGCGTTGGCTGGAGGCAACGGACCCATGGATGCTCAGAACGGGCAGGCCGGCCTTGAAGTGACCACCCCGACCAAACGCAAGGCGCCTGCGAAGGGCAACCCCCGAAAGAAAACCAAGGCCAATGCTGATGGGGCCGCTGAGTCGAACAACTCCGATGAGGCTCAGGCTGGGTCGGATGTCGATACCAAGCCGAACACCAAGGGTCGCAAGAAGGGCGCTGCTGCCCGTGCCAAGTCTGCTCCCAAGGTGGAGGTTGTGGTTGCGCCTGAGACCCAAGACGGGCTTGACCTTGGAAGCGAGGTCGTTTAAGTGTTCCTTGAACGGTCTACGATACTGGTACGTTGCCTTGCAAGAAGGATCTGCTTGCTTTGGCGCTGATGAGATTTTGATACATAGACAGATGGGTTGTTCGACCGTCGTTGCTGGGGTCTAGGATCTTCCGTTCTTCTCTTGTGTTGTTAACTCTTTCGAGGGATTTGCTCCAGCAACTTTGGGGATGGGCTTCGGTTTATGTGCAGTCTTTTGACTTCCATTTCTTGTCATTTATCCACATTGATGGCCCTGGGGAAGGAACGCTGATGCTCTTGGCCTCTGCAGACCAGACTCTTCATAGCAGATTGGAGGATTGATTGATATCTGGGACATGCAACACAAAATGTAGTTGACTGCCATTGCGCCTTCCTTCTTCTGCTCAGTAGATTGCTCCACTGATAGTCCAAAAGTGGTTTTCTAAAGCACTGGGCCCAGCCTCTTGTGTCCTTGTGTTAGAAATCAGGATCGTGTTCCACCAGTGAATAAACGTCAAGCTGATACTCCATTCACGGTTCCCCCAGTCGGTTTGGACTCGCTCTATTCTCTTCACTCTTGCTGCGATCTCTCACTCACTTCCCAGGTATCTTACCTTGATCTCCCCCCGGCTTCGCCTCTTCTCATCCTACCAATTTACACTCTCCTACCCTCAACATATTCCTCATCTCCACTCCACTATCAAAACCTTCGCGCCTCGAGGCATCATCCACCCCTCTTCACCACGACCATACACCTCGAAGATCACACACAGACACACACACAGAGATACACACCAGAGCGATCCCAGCGAAAGATGGCCCCAAGCACACCCTCGAAACCGAGAGCGCCTCGCCTCACCGCGGATGATCAAGTGCAGTTCCTCCTTAGCTGCATCCGCAACGCCACTGGCGGCGGCAAGGTAAGTCCTCTACCTCCTCCTCCTCCTCCTCCCCCCGCCACTTCTGGGCCCATTCATCTGGTACTTTTCGATACGACTCCTACACCGTCAACTCCCAGTCCCTATGTCCCGACCCAGCAACACAAATTCAGGGACCAAGTCCGATCCTCGGAATTTCTAACTAACAAACCACCACCTCGAACAACGATAGATTGATTTCGCCAATGTCGCCAAGGAATGCGACATTGTGACCAAAGGAGCCGCGTAAGTGATGCAAATAGTCCTTCCCCCCCCTTCTTCGCCGTCACCTCGCCCCCCCTCCCCAAAAGTCATTCCATTCCATTAGCTATCAATCACACGATACATCCTTCCAAGGGAGAGAGCTGAGCTGATATACGAACGAATGAACCAGCGCAAAACGCTACGAGCGTCTCCTGAAAGCCAACAACATCGCTCCAGCGGGGGGCAGCAATCTTACCTCGAAAACTACCAACGATGAGGGCGTTGATGAAGACGAAGCCGATGGACTTGAGGCCGCCGCGACGGGGGGAGCAGGCAAGGGTCGCAAGCGCAAGAGCCCGACTGCTACTGCGGCTGCTATATCTGGTCGAAAGGGGAAGACGAGTGGCCTGCTGGCGAGGAAGAGGACAAAAGGCCAGCTCATGAAGGAGATGGCTGTGGCTAGATCGCATAGGATGGTTGGGATGAGTGATTCCGGGGATGAGACTGTCAAGCAGGAAGATGGGGAGGACGAGAACGACGACGGTCATGGTTTGACCATCAAGAAAGAGGATGCTGATGAGGAGATACTTATGGAAGACGAAAACTGAGAAGGGGAGACTGGGGCTGGCAAAGAGATGCTGGGCTTGGACCAGGCTGGCTTCGACGATCGTGACCAGTAGGTGGCTGTTTGGGGAACATGATTGTGGTGAAGCAGTCTAAAGACTCGGTTGGAGGTTGAGTATTTAGGCTCTTGCAGGGCGTTCGGTTCTATGTCGTCTCCAGGTCTTTTGCGATTCGTTTTCGGACTGCGGTGACCTCCACCCTGTCTGTGCTTCAATTGAGGTTTTTCTTTTTCAATTTGAGGATGGATAATCTTTCGGGGGGCTATCTTTGTCCTAATTGGACGTTTTACACGCGCGGCTTTCGAGATCATCAGCTCCTTTGGTGAACGGTAAATGACAAGCCTTGCTTTGGTCGACGTTTCTTTATGTGAAACCCGGGTTGATGGCAATATGTTGAAGAGCAATGGGATTTTCTGATGGTTTATCTACCGGGATAATATCATGAATTCATAAAGTCGGTTGAAGCTGTTAAATCACAGCATGCATTGGAAAGTAGAGAAGTCAAATTCTATAGTAAGTAGACGCATGTCAAGGTAAGTTTGCTCAAAGGGTATCAGTAAAACGAATGAACAGAACCCAAAAACAACAAAGAATCACTCCGGCTTCGTACCCGGAGTATAAGCGGCAGATGTGTTATATCCAAATAGCACAGACCTGACAGGCAGTGGTTGCCTGTCGAGGTCACATAATGTTGTAGGGTATCACAGTTGAAACCTTGCTGGGGGCTAAAGATGATTAAGGATACGCAGGCTTAGAGGTCTGCCATTACAGACTCTAAGATCTTGCGCTTATAATTAGAGAGAGACCGTTCCTTCTTCTGCATCTGCGCACGAAGCTTGAGGTACCTTTGCCTCCACGTGGCTTCGGAGACGTTTCCATCCGCGCCTTCCACGTCGAATTCAGCATCGGTGATGCTGTCCAGCTCCGCAACACTATTGTCCAGCTCGTCCGTTGCCCGGAACGAGCTTTCAAACTTGTTACTGTCCGATTTGCCAATGTTAAGGTTTCCGTATGTCACTTTGGTCGAGAACCGTAGCCCGTGCTTGTACTCGTGAGTAATCGTATATACGTGATTTGAAGGGGTTCCATCAACGCTTGGTGCAGTGGAGGAAGCCGAAGGCATCATCTCGATGTGGATGGTCATCACACTTTCGGTGACTCCGGGATAGCCGAATTGGTGTCCGAGACCCAGGTGCAACGCGGACATGAGGACCGCTGAACCGCCTGGTATCTTCGCGTATGTGGATGTGAGGCTTGAGACAACAGATGATGCCAAACCCCGGCCCTCTTCCGCACTGAGAGGAGCGGACCGACCGACAACCCTACCACGCAGTAGCTCGCCTGCTAGAACACGTACAACGTCGTCCGCTGTAATCTCTGTTTGTTGCACAAGGTTGCGATTGGCATAAGAAGAGGGATTGGTGACACCCACATTGCCAGCATAGTCGTAAAGTGGTGCGAGAGTCCCGTTGCGCTGGTTATTCTCGGTTTTCATCATGCCAGAGGCGCCATGGACTCCGTTTACCGCCAAGGTGGGCGGTGTCGCGAGGCGCACAGGTCCTCCAGGATGCTGTGGAACCTGGAGCTGCAGCTTATTCGGTTTGGGACCTAAATTGAACGGTGTAGGTGATTGCTGGTATGGTGAGTCACTAAACCGGTTAGTGTGCTCTTGATCGAGAACAATGGCAGGAGATGATCGGATTACGGAGTTCGGTTGATGGGTGGATTCGGAGCGGACAGGATTCACTGGGAAGGAAGAAAACGGGCCTGACACTGTTCCTCGATTGGGAGGTCGGCCCCGTGTCTTTCCATTGCTCCCATTGTTACTAGGCCAGGCAGATGATACAGCGGGGCCATGACGCCGTTTGGGGCGTGTCTTCTCGCCAGTGGATGGTGTCACTGCTGAGCGTGGCTCTGCAGGCTGAATGAAGATTTCCGATTGATGATTACTTCTGGGGATAATGGCAGAATGAGGATAGCCGTTGGGCGAAGCATCGCGGTCAATATGCCTCCATCGCAGATCTTGACTTTGCTGGGGAGCATGAGTCACAGATGGACCCTCAGTTGAAAATGTATGCGCATTTCCCATCCACGGATCAGTCGACTCTATCTCATCAGGAAATGCACTGAATGGAATAGCGCTGGTGGGAAATGTCGAGGTCTGCCCGGAAAAGGGGCCTGGATGAATCACGTTCATGGATGTGTCAAGTTGTGGTCGCTTGGCGGCCTTCTCCATCGCCTCGAGTTCGGCTCGCTTTCGCCCGCGTTTTGGCTTCCACTGAGGGACGAGCGCTCGCAAGGCAAGATCTTCTTCGAGTGGTACCCCATCCCGGCTCTCGCTTATAATACCGCTAGGCGGGAGCTGAGTGTAATAAGGATGAGGGTGTCCGAGACAATATTCAAAGAAGGCATCGACATGCATCGCACGCATCCAGCGCTACCGGAAGTTAGCGCTCGAACTTTTTCTTGGTACAAAAAAAAAGGCATCAAAAATATCATCAAGGAACGGACCTTAAGTCGCACTGCGTACTGCTGAACTTTCTGCGTGCTTTGTTTCTTTTCCATGCAGGGCGGCTCTACCCCCAGCTCGATAGCCAGCTGAATCCATGTCTTTAACTCTTTACAATCCAGCTTCTTGATCAGTTCGTAAAGCGCAAATATACTGAAGCTCTTTCCATCACTCCGTGGTGGACATCTGAAGGTCTTTCGTAACTCCGAGGTGTCCATCGACAAAGGGACATTCGGATTACAATAGAAGATAAACATAATGTATGCATCGTCGATGTTTGCGTCCGTGATGTCGCGAGACGGAAGAGACCGGGTCTCAGCCGATTCCATCTGTTCTCGAGTAGACCTCTGGCGCAAAGAGTCATAGTTGGGAGGAGACAATGAGGGTGCTTGGCGCACTGGCGCTGGAGCTGGAGCTGGAGTTGGTACCTGTGCCGGTGCTAGTGCTGGGGGCACGCCAGGACGTGGGGCGGTTGGCGATGCTTGTAAGCTGCGCGGGGTAGCTTTGCGGTGAAGAGGGGGCGATTTGGAGGTGGCAATCTGACTGCGAGCACTACCTATTGAAGATGCGCTATGTAAGCCAGGCTCCGGAGCAGGATACCTGGCGTACTGCTGGATAATCATCGGCGGAGGCCCTAATTCCGTCCGGTCTGGCTGGACCGGTTGAACTGGTTGAACCGGCTGGTTCATTACATTTGGAAACGAAGCTTCCATTCTGATAGGGCGTTGGTAAACGGTCTAAACCGAATCACCGGTGTTGAATTCTGGAAATCAATGAAAAGGCGACGGAACTGACAAGACAAGATGGAATGCATAAGTATAGTAGGGAAGCGGGAAGGTCTCAGATCGAGGGCTGGAACGGGCCAAAATATAAAGTCAAGTCTTATTAGACGGCGGTTGTAAAAGCACGGGTATTTCGGGGGCCAGCCCAATAGTTGCAGTGCGCGATTGGAGGGATCGGATCCTCGTGATAGGTTCGCTCAAACCGGAGGAAGTACCTAGCAGGTACTACTAGGTAGGTAGTTTGCAGGTGGTGCAGTGAGGTGCAGTGGTATTGTTGATAACGTACGGTAGCTGTACGTATGTAGGTAGGTTAGGTATATACAAACTTAACATGCAATGGATGGATGGAAATTAGCGACACGGCATTGGAGCAATCAATGCAGGATCATCGCAACAGCGACCGAAAAGATCAAACAACATGGTTGTTCGCAAGCGCCCGACGAGAAAGAAGGAGAAGAGAGAAAGGGAAAGAGGGAAAAAGAGGAGAGAGGGTGGCTGGACGACGGCGGCGCTTTAAAGAAGGCCGATGATAGATTAGGAATTTGAGAGGAGCTGACTGTTTCTATTTCGGGTCTCCCCTCGATCCCTCTCCAGGCTTAGCGTGGTGGCCTCAGGGCGGGGGAAATTGATGCCTGGGCCAGTGGGCATGCCTGGGCCAGTGCAGTCAGTAGTGCCTTTCACTGCCGCCATTCGCATTCAATTGCATTCATTTGAAATGATTGAACATTCAATTGCCTGTCACGCAGTCACACCCTGTCACATGCACCCCTTAGCATTTTAGCCGCCGGTCGCCTGAGCAATCAGGCCACAAGAATCGACTAGTTACCACTAACTTAGTTAGTACGTATTAGTCATTCCCTCATTCTGCCATCACTTCCCGGCACTACGCCTTTTCCGTCAATCGCTCACTCTTGAGTCTGGCCGGAAGTCGTCATTGCTATTTGACTAGTAACTTACGGAGTAGCCAGTCTACCAATCCATGATACTCCAGGCTCCATTCAGTCTTATCGATAAACCCACCCCCCCTTCCGGTCCCGTTCAGGGAAGCCTCGATCCGAACTGGAACTGGAACTTTTGGAGCTGAGGCAGGCGACATCATCCACCTGCATCGACCTCCAACTTCGCCAGCTACCTGGTACTTTCCTTAACACTCACTCCCTTCTGCATTTCCTTCTCCAACCACTTGCGACTCATCTGGGATGACCAGCTTATCGATGTGTTCTCCGGTGATCTGGTGCTAGCCTCTCCGGTCTCAGTCTACTCTACCTTACTTTCCTACATTACAGTGACAGCGTCATAACCTCGCCCCAGAATGGCCCCCACGCTTCGCACCCCTCCTCGTCAGCGCCCTTCCAGACAATCTCGACCTGTCCGATCTAGTCGCACTCAAGTCCAGTCCTACCACGAAGACAGCAGTTCCGACGATCGGCTTGATGAAGATACCGAATCGGATCGTGAACGCGCTGAACGATTGTCGCTTTCTCTGCGCCCTCGAGACTCGAACCGTATGCCGGCCTCCTATCGCGAGGAAACCACCGACGATGAGCTTGACAATTTCAGCGACGAAGGCATGGATACCATGACTCGCAGTGCGGCACCCGCGCATGCACCTCTCACACTCGCCGAGGGAAGCAATCACGCCAGACCACCTAAGCCTACCCGCACACGAACCGTAAGAACAAGATCACAGACAACGAAGGCAAACCGGCCTCTCAAGAAGAGGCGGATGGAAATTGGGCGCCCGCTTAACAAGCGTCGAAAGCTCGAAGTAGAGGCTGCTCCATATGTTGGTTCGGGTGTTATACCGCCGTGGCAGACGCTTCCCTACCACATACTCCTCGATATATTTGTTCGTGCATCATACCCTCTGATTGACGAAAGGACTACCAGCAGAAAGAGCTCCGTGCAGTGGCTTGTCAAAGTCGCTCTACTATGCCGTTCTTTTCATGAGCCTGCCTTGGCCGCTCTCTACCATTGCCCTCCACTAATACCCGCTGCTAAGTCTCACGGTTTGCTACACTTGCTAGCCAAACCTCAAGATCAGCTTTCCACAAACTATATCAATAAAATAAAACAGCTGCATGTTGATGTGGAAGCCCTTCTGTTCTACAAGAGTGGGTCGACCCTGGGCTATTTTGAGCTGCCCAAGTTGCTGGAGAAGACTCCTCAAGTCAAAACGCTACGCCTCTACCACAGTCATGATTACGTTGTCGGCCTTCCCCCGTGGCTTATTCAGCGCTCAAAATGGACTTACCCGGACAGTCTTTTCGATGCAATCTCGTCAAGCCCTATCCGCCTTCGTAGCTGGGACTGGAACAGCCGTTTCATGGAGACTCAAAAGCTTCTCGAACTGATGTCACAGATGCACATTCAACCCGCATTTCATCTGATGCAGGACCTGAGAATCCTGCACGTCATGTGTGATGATCCATACAGCAAACAATTGCCCGAGAGCTCCACAGAAAAAGAGATACTTTTGGCCGCGGCCCTTGCTGACCTTCCCAATCTACGGCGCTTAGAGTTCATAGAATGCTCGATTGTCAATGATCACCTTTTGCCCAACCTTCCCACAACCCTCACCTCTCTCACAATAAACAACTGTGATGAGATAACGACCACTAACTTTAGTTCATTTCTTTCGACGCATGGCCGCCATCTTCGAGAGTTGAATCTAAGCCATAACCGTCATTTGAGTATGTCTTTCATTGTCAACTTGGCCGTATCATGTGAGCAACTGGAAGTCTTCAGGATGGATATATCCATGCATGATTGGTCTAGTTACCACGACGTTGAGCCTCATTTTCGGGAACTGCTCTCACATTCTGAGATTCCGACCTGGCCATCAACACTTCGGGAGATCGAGCTCCTCCAGTTGCGAAACTGGGATGACAGAACAGCAGAGGTCTTCTTCAGCTCGCTTCTCAATGCCGCTCCTAGCTTGGAGAATTTGAGGCGCTTGGTGATAAGCGCAATTCTGAAAATAGGGTGGCGAGATCGAGCAACTTTTCGTGAGAAATGGAAAGGCAAGCTACAAAGAGTTTTTCAGCGACGAAGTCCTCCGCCCAATCCCGACCTTCGCTCAATCCCTCGCACTTCGCTACTACTCAACGCCTCTGACTCTGCAGGAGCCAGAATCAATGAAGGCGCCAGCCATAATTCCGATACTCAACACAGCGGCACTATGACACCGAACAAACGGAAGAGTGCGCGCATTGCTCAAAAAAGGTACTCTGACGATGAAGCTATTGTCACAGGGAAGAGGCGAAGATCTCGTGAAGACGACGATGAACCGCTGTTCACTCAAGGCTTGTGCGATGTCGTCATGATTCGAATAGACAATCAACGCCCGACAGAGACTCAGTTCAACGAAGAAGACTTCCTCGACGATGAATTGAGCGGAGACGAAGATTGGAATGGTAACGACATCGACGTTGACGATAGCAGACATGCATGGTAGAGGAAAATCATGCTGAGCCTTTCCATATTTCTTACAAATTGCTCCGTGCTTTACTTCAGTTGATTCTTACGATCGTGCACCGACTCGTTTTACGTCTTATTCATTGATTCCGACTGCAACGCTCGCACTGGTCCACGGCGAAGTCATATTTGCATTGCTGCATGAGCTTATATCTTAGAGGGTATATTATACATGGATGGCGGGTAGGAGTATTTCAGGGCGTCTGGCTTCATTATTTCGGAAAGTTTTCGGAACGGCAATCGTCGGGAACTGAGAATGACCGGATATACTAATTGCATTCCAATACTTGACTTGTTGCCTTAATTATCTTACATCTCTTCGGAAATTCAGCTGCCTACTGGTGGTACTCGCTCGAATATCACTGGTATAGATTCAGACTGGAATGACACAACATGGTTCACACGGTATCTCCAACTACCCAGTAGAGAGATGAGCAGCAAATGCCAAATTTCTAGCCCAGCTAACCTCTTTGGCTTGGACCCATGCAGGTGCCCCCTGTGGGTATGATCCTCTCAGGCCAACTCCCCAGGCAAGCGTTCAATCGCCTACTGGTATACCAACTTGCCGTTGTCGTTCTCGATGTGCTCGGACAGGTTGACGTCGGCGGGGAAGTACTCGCCCTCCGAGTTGGCAAGCTCGGCGCGCAGCACTGGGACCTCACCACCACCCTCAATGGAGAAGGTCACATCCCGGGCACTGCCGGAGAAGCCGTTTCCACCCCAGTCGAATCGGCCTGGTTAAATAGTCAAAGAAGTCAGAATACCATTCGTCGGATTTTATGGAAGCCTATCGTCATGGGCGAGACATACCCTCGTTGTTTCCCAGGAACTCATCCAGATCCAGTGTGGATTCGTGCTCCTCGCCCTCCTCATCTCTAAGGACCGCAACCAAGATATGGTTGTCGTCAATGTGGACGTCCGAGGCGCTCAAGTGGAAGCTCATGGTGGCAATGAAGTGAGGGGATTCTTTGATGGAAGGAGGAAGAGGAAGAAGCTGTCAGGCAGGGGTTTGGATTGGGAGGATGAGTGTGTTGATGGTTGAGGATAATGATAATGTGTAATGGCGGGGGGGAGGGGGAGACCCTTCTTATACCTTTTTCTTGTTATAAGAATTGCGAAAGGGGCTGATCTACTTGCCTTCCCCTCCACCCCTCCATCATCCAAGACTGTTGCTGCCATACTTGGCTTGGTCTCATTAGTTAGCTTTATCGCACGATTTAGTGGACATCGGGCTACTTACTAGTCTAGAAGCCCTGTTGGATCTTCCGTGGGGGCAGGTGGGTTGTAGGGATGGATGGATGGATGTATGCGCATACACTACATGTATCAGAAGCTGCAATGCAACCATAAGCAAACTGTATTCAATCATCAAGCCACTTACGAGAAAGACAAACAAACAAAAACAAGCAGATGGAAAGCTGTGTGTCGCTTTCTGGGATTGCATTGTTGTTTTTCTTCTATGCTTTTTTCTGCCTGCAGCGGGCCTTCTTTCCCATAACAATAGATAGTATCATGTCTCAAAAAGAGAAATGGGTACTATTCATATGAGTATCGGCCACCTGTCATGAGCACTATTGTTTCACCGTAGAAAATCCTCACAACAACCACAGCCCCCCTCCCTCGCCCCCCTCCCCACTCGCGCACCTAGTCCCTCTTGGCGGCCAATTCAGCAGCAATGGACCCTGAAAGGTATCCCATCCTCTGGCCCCCCCTCGGCGCCTGCGTGGGCTGAAGCAGAGGGCCAGTTGAGACGTGACGTTATTGCTGCTCTCTGTCTGCCGGTTTCGGTGGGTATCGAGGCGGGTTGATGGGGAGGCATTCGCTGTTTAGGCAGAAGTCTTGGTATAGCGATTGAGAATCATTGTATGGCTAGACCCTGGTCCGGGTCCCTGTCTGACTCCGTCGATAGTGGGGTTCCTTGATTCCGGAACAGCCACAATCCCCACAAGTCATTGCAATGATATTGGTCTGAAGGACTGTGCCAAGAATGACATACTGTCTTTGGCACTGAGTACGATGGAGAGTTGTGGTCTGGGAAAAGTGGCGTAAGGCTGCCCCCCGTCGGGTGGCTGAGTTTCCGTTCCTCCTGAAATGAAAGGGTGGTGGTTGATTTGGTTTTGTTTTCTGTCAATAATGGTAAGGTAGTTATCGTTATTTGCTTTCCCTTCCGTCGCCTTGCAGGGCTGAGTGCTTGGCATAGGAGAGGTTCGGGGGCCGCTGACGGGTGTCAACGGTTGGAGTGCCAGTCTCACAGGGCGCGTAGTTGGTGGCTGGTGCTTCCATCTGAAGTCAGGTGAGTTGGCAAGTAAGGAGATGACCCGTAACGACGTTACAAGCGATGTGAGACCATGACGGTCAAGGTGGGGAGGGGACTCGGGAAAAGCGGGGAGTTTCCCTCTTTCCTCTCCCTCTTTTCCCCTCGCTGGATTTTCTCCCCCTATGTCTTTGGTTGTCTACTCCGTACATATTCTCGTGAACAATGGCCTCACTTTCCAGTCAGCGAAGAGCTTGCTCGTTGCGGACCGTGCTTGCACTTCTAAGGGACATTCGAATTGGGAGCTGTCCCATTCTCGACTTTCGGTTCATTGGCGAACATACCTTCCTCTCCCCATGGTCGCATACAGCGGCTGTCTTCCGACGAGCATTGTTTCACCAGGATGTCCATGTCAAATAGGGGCGAATATCCGTCATCGACTGGCCATCAACCATGAACAATAACTAATAACTTAGTCGTGTTACCTACTCTTGAAACAGCCCCGAGCACAAGACGTCGCCAGAGTTGAAGCGATTCGCTCCCCCTCCTGAGATCCTGGCTTATTGCTTAACAGAGACGCCGCGACTTCGTCCACTGACATGAGTGACATGGATAATGCCAGTACTTCGCAGAGTCACCTCATACACAATCTGGGCTCCACGCGAATCGATGATGTTCTAGGACGCCTCTTGCCGAATTCAGCCATACCCTGGTTTGGAGGAAAGCACCCAAAACATCGATGATAACGCTAGAGGTTACCGAAGTATTGGTGGAGAGACTTGTTCGCGTATACCGAGCGACAGGTGATCGAGGCCGTGCAAGCCGGGTATAGGTTATAATCCACGTGCTAGTTGCCCTAGACAGTCGCGCTGGAGAGGCTCAATGCAGGTTTCATTGGGAATGTCAACTGTCTAGACTTGCTTCTTGTCCCTATACGACAATCTCAGATAACCCGCACTCACGGAGCTCTCCGTCTAATGTTGTGACAGCTGGTCTTGAACCGCGTAGATATGAGCACGCCGGCATAGTGACTGGCAAGGGTCAACAGATCTAAACGCACGTAGTGTATCGTAGTGCTTACTCTTCCAGCAAGTACTCGACCACGCTAGGGTTGGCTGGACAAAGAACACTTGTGCTATCAAATGGCTTACGGTCGGTGACAAGCTAGAGTGCTCTGTTGCCGCAGTCTAATCAAAGCTTACGATAAATGAGCCATCCAATGCATGGCTCTGAATTATATTTGCTCGCCCACTGCTTGCTTGACCGCTTGCGCCTCTTGTGATCACGGGCCACCGCACTACATTATGCTCGACGCGGTTACTTTCCAGGAACTGGAAGCATGTCCAGCTCCAAATGGTCAGTATTTCTGCTCGACCTTTAGCCTAATCACTGTTATTTATAACTGTGTATATAAGTACGGCTGCCCGTCGAGCTCGATCAAGCCAGCAAGCTACCTACTACTGATTTCTTGTCGATCGCACCATGGTCACTACATCTGAGCCAGCTCGTCCTTGGGCCGACGGGCCCTGGCCCCTGATCGAGACCCCTTCCAAGACCCGGAATGTTGTGAGTTTCTTTCCCTTTCTTCCAGGCTACATGTCTCGTGCTAATGAGCACCTGCAGTCAGAACATCCCGCCGTCTACATCGCGAACGAAATGGCCTTCGCTCACAACAGCATGCTGAGAGGCTTGAACAGCATCTACCTTCAGGCATCGTCCATTCAAAAGCCCCAGGACGTCTCCGACTTTCTCTTCTTCATCTACGCGTGGGCAGGCTGGGTATCGCATCATCACGTCCTCGAAGAGGAGAAGATGTTCCCGGGATTTGAAAGAGTCATCGGTGTTCCCAACTTCCTTGAAACCAACGTGGAGCAACATCACTCCTTCCAGCCTTTGTTGAAGAAGCTCCTGGAGTACAGCAGCAAGACACAGCCGGCAGAATACCAGGCGTCTGTGGTCCGTCAACTGATTGAAGAGATGGCACCCAGTTTCCGCCAGCATCTGAGCGATGAAATCTCGAGTTTGCTTTCTATGGAACCGTATGACGGGGACGCATTGTTGAAGGTCTACAAGGAATGCGAGGCCGATGCAGGCAAGCAGGATAAGGTACTTACCATCCTTCTGCTTTTCGCCCCTTACTCATTCCACCAGGTCTCTGACACTCTCGATTGCAGCATGTGGTGCCTCCGATGGTGCTGGGACTTCGCGACATCACTTTTGAAGGGGGCAATCAGTGGCCTACCATGCCACCGCTGTCGGCATGGTTTGTTTACTACCTCTTTTCCGGCAAGCATGCGGGATCATGGCGTTTTCTGCCGTGCGATACCTGGGGGAACCCACGCGCATTGGCATTTGTGGAGGAGAACGCTTGATAAAAGTGTAGCGACTGAGCACGAAGCGCTGGTAAATAGGTAGCTGATGATTGAAAATCTTGCCCAAGGCGCAAGTGAAGCGTAGTCCGTTTTGTGCTGTTCGCCCCGCCGTCTGCGGTCAGCAAGACCGAAATGGTCCATGGATCAACGTAGTCTAACTGCATAGTAGGAATGAGGCAATGTAGCACCTTATAGATCGAGCTGTGGTTGATAGGTATGATGCATTAGATCCTACGATTGGAATATGATCGGCCTGACTACCGGCGGAGAACTCAGGATTTGTTTTCCGCGCCGAATCAAAATGCAGCTCTGACCGGCGAGCTAAGAAAAGTAGCCGGGCAAAAGTACGGAGTACCGTGGACCTCAACTGTGCTTAACTTACTCCCTACTACCTGTACGGAATACTGCTTCGGAGAACCCACACCGGTCAGGAAACGAACAGAAGACACCCCACACGAACAAACGCCTTGCATCCACGCCTACCCAATGATTATCACTCCAGACCACTAGCTCTCAAGAGCATTGTCTGCTAGGAGCAAGTCGAGTCCATTCGTATCTGGTTCAACGCTTGTTTCCTGTCCAAATGATGGTGGGTTTCCCCACATGTCGTGCCGGGGACGCGCGGGATATCCACTTCTTGTTTATGGAATGGGGCCAATCGCATGTGCCTCATCGGGGCGCATGTTTTATTGGGGGGGTCTTTAAAGGCTAGGCTAGATGTATCAAGGTGCATTATCCCTACCGCCAATCCACCAACTTAAGGGATGGGGGGTTTCCTAACTTAAAATCACGGACCAAGCGCCACAAGGGAGGCGCCGACCCCGAGTTCACCAGGTGATCAGTGCTCGTCTCATTCAGAGCGTAGACTCTGGACTTGTCTATCGGTACATCGATCCTTCCTGCTCCACCACCACTACTACCACGTCTTTCAAGCTTCACCATGGCATGGCCTCTCTCCATGCACGAGATACATCCCGCCGCAGACTTGGTACAGACTAGCACGCTGCCGTTTACCGTTCCAAGTGGCATTCCCCAAACTGCCTTCCCAGGAGAAAGTCATGACGACGACGGTATCTTGGATTCAGTGAGTGCTCAAGAGTGCTGGCACTTACAGGCCTAGCATCTCGTTCTTTTATGTGTTCGTCAGCCATTCGCTTATCCCAGCTCATAACAGGGGCTTGATGACGACTTTTCAGACTATGCGGAGGAGCTGTAAGTAGCTGTCTACTTGGATACGATGAGAGTTCACGACTGATGAGCGCAAAACGCCATAGCGCGAGCGATACCACATCATTGGATTCCGAAATAACATCGTATCGCTATGAGAATGGACGACGATACCATGCATACAAGGACGGAGCTTATTGGTGAGCACAGCAGCCAATGTCATCCCAATCACTAATTGTATGAGCCTGACCTTATCTTGCCAGGGCCCCGAATGATGATAAACAGAATACACAGCTAGATATCGCGTGAGTAGAGGAGTCGGGAAATCGCTAACCCGCGTTGACACCATGCAACAGCCACCACATGTTTACATTATTGCTGGATGGCAGGTTACATTTAGCGCCCACCGGGAATAGCATTCAGGTATGTTGAGCTAGTTTCAAAGACATCATCCTTATCAGACGACCCGTATTGTGCTTACAATGTACCCAGAGAGCACTTGACATTGGCACCGGTACTGGTATTTGGGCCATGTACGTGTCGAGGCAGCCTGGGTGAGACGCGGCATTCTGACCAGTACTGTGATTAGTGATTTCGCGGATGAACATCCCTCTGCCGAAGTCATCGGGACGGATCTGTCGCCCATTCAGCCAAGCTTCATCCCCCCTAACTTGCAATTCGTGATTGATGATGCGTCGGAGGATTGGATTTACCCTGCGAACTACTTCGATCTGATTCACACCCGTACTTTGTACGGAGCAATTGCGGACTGGCCACAATTCTACCACAAAGCCCTTAGGTAAGCCTTTACGTTCTGTTATACTTTCTGCCACCATATCTGAGAGAACTTGTTTGATATTGTCTCAGACATCTGCGTCCTGGAGGATGGTTCGATCAACTCGAGATGTCCATACAATTCCGATCGGACGACGAGACATTAATGGAGGACCATGTGTTGTCGATCTGGTCGAAGACGTTCATCGAGGCCGGTGAGAAACTAGGGAAGACTTTCCGCATTGCCGAGCTAGCGGCTGGCTATATGCGAGATGCAGGCTTTCAGAATGTTGTTGAGCACCGGTACAAGTTGCCGGTGGGTCCGTGGAGCAGAGACAAAAAGCTGAGGAGTCTCGGGATATGGAATCTGGTTCATTGCGAGCATGGCATTGAGGGCTGGGCTATGGCGTTGCTTACGCGGATAATGAAGGTGCGTGACGAAATCTCGATACTCATCGATGTCTATCTCATCTCGAGTCCTCGAGATGAAGCTGGCGCATGGAACGATAGGCGCTGACGGCATCCCCATATATCTTAGTGGACCTTCGCGGAAGTACAGGTTTTCTTGGCCCAAATGCGCAAAGGCCTGCGGGATCCAAATGTTCATGCTTACTTTGAAGTGTAAGTCGTGCGCATTCCTGTGCGGTGGGCTAATGCTGACTTATCGCCCCGGCGTACTTTAGCGTCGCAGTTTATGGTCAGAAACCTATACACACCGTTTAGCTCCGAGATCTGGTGGATGTGATATCTACCGTGCGTTTCAGAGCGGCACTAATAATCGGAAATTCCAAATTACCAGACATGTAATTAAGTTTGAGGGGATATACCCAGAGTCCTGGAGCATAGATTGCAGTTTCGACTTTCTATGTTGAGGTAAAAGAGTGCACCTACTTAACCACACGTACTTGGAGTAAATAGCCATCATATACATCATCAAACTATTCTGTATCGTCTCTGAAGCCACTTCAGATGTGGTCTGATATCTGTACAGCTGCTGGACACACGAAAGGGAAAGTGCTGGGGACATTGGGGCACCGTCGAACTTTTAGTTCTAGAAAGATGAACAGTAGTATTGTCATAAGCATATACTACAAGAAGCGTCCGTTATTGATGAGGCTCTCTACTTAGAAGAGTCACTCTAGAACAACCGAAGACAGCTACTTGATTAGCCTCGATAGTCATCTGATTTGTCCTGCCTGTGCACTGCATACTTCATCCGGGAGGTAAAAATCTCGAGGGAACTAGAAGGAGAATAAGGTAGCTGCTGCTATGCCTAAGAGTAAGAAGCAGGGTCTCTCTTCCTACATATTCACTTCACAACCAGGTGTGGTCATGGTCAGGCCAGGAAATCGTTCTCGCGGCATGGAATTTACTAATCCAGTTTCTGTAGAGTATTACTATAAATGCACTGGTTGCTAGGCAGTAACACCTACAGGTACTCGGCCTATGAGTGAATAACACCCCGGCCTAGAATGTTTTACACTTTGCTTCCAGTTTTTATTTTCTCTATCGGCTCTTGTGTATTTATCTCTTCGTCTGCTTGTCTCCTCAAAATATTTTCTCTCTACCTTTTACCCCAACAACACATATCCCATCTTCAATTTTTCTAGAACTATTACATCAACATCAAATTACTCCAAGCCACACTATAGTCTATCAAACCAAAACCCAAACTCCATCGCAAAGATGCCCATGACATGGAACGAGGCGGCAGATGCTAAGGTACGTGCCTGTCCTCTCTCTCTCTCTCTCTCTCTCTCTCTCTTGGTCTTTCCTGCTCGCAGCCATACAGCTAACCGATCAACGTCAAAGCTACTTACAGCCATCTTGCAGACCATCAACACCAAGCTCGACTATCCCCGTATCGCCCAGCTCATGGGTCCCGGTATGTCCTCTCTACCCCCCAAAACCTCAGATCCCTCCAGAGGAAGAAGCCCCCCAAAGCAAAACTAAACCTTGTGACCCTGAAACTAGAATGTACTATCTACGCTATCCAGCACCGCCTCCGAAACCTGAGGGAGCGCGCCAGGCCCGGACCCACCGCCGCAGACGGCCCTCCCGCCCTTCCCTCGACCCCTACCAGGGATTCCACCGGCGGCGTTGATCCTGCCTCCGCTCACGGCACCCCCGCATCTGGGCCGAGGAAGCGAGGAAGACCTCCCAAGGTGAAGGTGGAAGCCGATGGTAGCGCTGAGGCGGCGCCGGTGACTCCGAAGAAGAGAGGCCGCGCTAAGAAGGTCAAGGCTGAAGAGATGGAAGAGGAGGCTCCGCATGCAACGACCGACACGACTGATGGATCTCAGCCTGTGTATCAGAGTATTGAGGATGCTTACATGCAGGAGGCGATCTGATTCGCTTTCCTAGATCTCGGGTCTGATCTTTTTGTGATGTACTTAATCTGGCTCTTGAGCTGCAACTTTATTGTGGGGATGGCGAAGCTGGGTTGTGCTTCGGAATGTCGAAGATATGAGATGGGATTTATTGCAGTTCTAGGTTGGGGGGTTCTAGTTCTACGTGGGATAGGCACTGGTGGAATCTCGATGATCAAGCTGTAATTGCAGTTCTTGTATCTCATTCTTGTGAAAGTGGCATCATTGCTAGAAAATGCAGTACTAAGTCCCATTGCGTAAGAACTCTTGATAAACCGCCCTCTTAAAGTACATACACACAAATGATTGTGAACAGTCTGATCTTAGCTCGAGATGGAGGAAAAAAGGAAAAAAAAAAAAAAAAAAAACGCAACCTGCCGCCCCCAGTCACCATCTAGATAAATTCCCGCCATCTAGACATAGTTCATCATGGCACCGCGAGGCGCAGCAACCATCTCATTCTCCGGGCAGTACTCCGAGGCCGAGCTCTCAACATCCACCTCCTGCTCGTCTCTGCCAAAGTGGTGGTGCGTCGTCCAGTTGACCATCCCCGGCGCCGGAGCAGCCGGCTTACGCACTCTCTTGGACGGGGTATCCTGCTCGACGTGGGCAGCAGCCGCGGCTCCATGCGTCTGATACAGGGTATGCCCCGCGAACAGCTGGTTCGCCGCACCCATCCCAGTATGAGCGAGAGGGGTCTTCTTCGTTGGGGTGGTGTCCATCATATGGGTGTCGATGCCAAAGGGGTTCAGAGCTTCTATCTTGATGGGAGAGGGCCCGGCTCCCGCCTCGCTCTTGATGAGGGAGTCCGCGGGCATGGACTCTGCCTTGATAGCAGTTTCTCGCTTCCGCTTGGTGGAGCTGGGCGTAGTGGGTGCGCTGTTCTTGCGGGGCTTGCGAGGGGTGGCGGTCGGGGTGATGGGGTTGTTGTCGTCCTGATTGCTTCCTTTGCTGGTGCTGCTGGCGGTTGTGCCTGCCAGATTACGGATTCTGACCAGCCTCTCGCTGATGGCTCGAGGTGTAGGGGGGAGTTCTCCTGCGGCAACGGCTGGGTATGAGGGGGAGAATTCCATGGTTAGCAGAGTAGGTTTTCAGGGAGACTGAGGACGAGTAGAGACAAGCTGGGGAAGGCGGGAGGGGGCTTACGCCATGCTTCCGCTACCTTCCTGTAGTTCACGGACAGGTTGTGTGTCTCGACGATCTTTAGCAGAAGCTTTGTCGATGTTAGCTGTCTGAGGGAAATAGGAATCGCAAATGGAGAGAGACAGAGAGTAAAGAGGACATACAAGTTGATCAGCTTCGGAAGTCCAGCGCATTTTTGCGTATGTAGGCGAGGTAGGATGGAAAGAGGACTGTAGTAAGTACTATCTGATAAGGTACAAGTTCTACTAATTAAAGACTTCAGGTGACTTGATGATAGATTTGAATCTGGAAGAGTAAGAGACAAGGTAGAGAAGAAGAGATTTGAGGAGTTGTTAAGTTGAACAGAAAGGGTTAAGAGTATATAGTAAGAATTTTAGAGCCAGAAGAAAATCTCTAGTCTATTAACTTTGGAGATATCTACCTCTAGGCTCAAGTGAATGATCCCAGCCTCGCAGGTAACAGTGACCAGAACCTGTCTTAGTGGGTAAGCAGCTCAGGTAACACTCACAGCTCTCAGCCTGCCCTCGACAACTTCCCACCCCCCACTGTTTGCATCACAATCTGCAGTGTTCTCTCACTCTCGATTTCCTCGATAATGTAACAGGATTCGAGGACGTGTTACTACTTGAATTTGCTCTTGTGCTGCAGGAATCCACTTGCCTGCAGCCGCTGTTTGAACCTTTCCTCCGACCGGGATCCTGCATCTTGACTGATCACTTTGTATACATCCGATTTGTGACAAAGGTACAGCACGCTACGCCATTGCCCCCGTTCCAGACCCTGTGCGCTTATCATTCTCCTTTCTCAGCCAGCTCCATTCTACACGTCGAATTGTGAAAGTCTTACGCTGCGACACAGCATCGTACAACCCCTGCCTTGTCCGCCTGTCCCCGACAAACAGAGAGCGCCAGTGGACAAGGATCTCTACCTATCTCATCCCCTCAATCACAGTACAATTTCGAGGGACTTTTGACAGCCCCGTTTCGGTTGCTGGAGGAATCTGTTAGCGTCCTTGTGATCTGACTGGAGGGCATCTGGATTCTTGGTCCTGCACTGTGAATAAATACAGGATTAGGGCTCTCTCATTTCGGTGGTCAGACACTTCCATCTGCTGTTGCACATTTCTTCCTCTGTTCTTCGGTCTTGTTTGATCTGGCAACCCAGTGCGTTTGCATCCCAAGCTTCCTTGGACTCGAAACACAAGCATTCTCTGTTAGAGCTCTTCACTTCCTTGTGACAAGATGGTCAACTGGAAAGCCCCGGAGTCGACCGATCGGCTCCTCGCATCGTTGATTGTGGCCCACCCCGGCCTGAAGGTACAGTGCCCCGCCTCCACAATCAGCAACCCCACGGGCTCGATCTAACTGATTCAATTACAGCTGGACTACAAGGCTATGGCAACAGCTTTCGGGCAGGGCGCAAGTTACGACTCCATCGAAGGCCGCTTCCGGAAGTGGCGTAAAATGGCCGACGAGCTTCGCGGCGAGCTGGATTCGCGAGGCATCAATTTCACCGAGCTGCGGGCTCGCAACAGCTCGTCCGGCATCTTGACCCCGCGGACCCCTCGAGGACCCCGCAACGGCGTGACCAAAGCCAGCCAGCCCACTCCATCTTCGTCCCGCGCTCGCAGAGACGGCCGTACCATCTCGCAGAAGACGCCGACCAGGCCCGCGAAGGGCGGTAGCAGTACCCGTACCCCTACCAGCCATGGCGGCTCACTCGTGCAGGCGATCTTTGTAGAAGATAGCATCGAGGAAGAGGACAAGAAGGATCTGACGTTCAAGCGCGAGAGTAGCGAAGCAGTGCCCTACGGGCTCATCACCCCAGTCAAGGAGCCCAACGACCTCATGATCGTGGACTCTCCTGCCACCGGTGGTCCTGGCGACACTGCCCTCGCTACCACCCGACATGGCAACGCCCGGTCGGACAAGCGCGCGCAGAAGGCCCTTGTGCCTGACCTTCCGATCATCTCTGGCTTCGAGCACGGCGGCCATGCGTCGTCGTCCAGTGTCGGTCTTCATCACTCTTCCGGTTTCCATCCCATGGATGACATCCAGCAGCGGCTACACGGGCATGTTTTTGCGTTCGATCATCTGTTGGACTCGGTCCCGTCTGGATCGTATCTTGGTGGCGATGTCGTTTAGGATCTTACGTTTTCGTGTTCTTACGCTTCGATGTTCCAACCTTTAGGAGGGATTGTCTCCGGCTCTCCCTGTTTACCCCCTACACGTTTTGTATTTCTATTCTGGAAATGTTGTTCAAACTATCAGCCACCCCACCCCGTACAGTGATTAAGAAAGTGACGAGAGAAAGACTTTGTGTGTGGCTGAGCCGGCGTCAGTCTTTACAGCTGGCAATGGGCGAGGGGGGGACAGTTGATAGATCATATGGCGGCTTGTCTCCATGCATCGGTGCATGGGTCTAGAACAAGACATGTTTGCCGCGGCGGCTGACTGACTTTTCAAGGTTCATCCAGTTCATGTGTGTAAAGGATTGCATCCTACGGATATGCTCATGCATGGTTCGGAAAGCCAATCTTGTGAGTTTTTATGTAGAAGATATGCAGATATACTCTCCGTATCTAGCATTAACTTACATGAGTCGAGCAAGCAAGCAAGCAAGCAAACCCTAGCCCCGAGCCCTGAGCCCTACCCGCCCCAATCTGGAGTATGATCATCGAATCGACCTGAAGTATTTCAGTAGGAAGGAATGTTGGCATAGTAAAATAAGATCCTTAGTAGAAATGTGATCGGTTGCTACACTTCTAATTCCGGATTCGTATTTTTTTTGTGCTGCCAATCCAGTTCAGAGTGACTGGGTACCTACATCACAAGGGATTATTGACCATGCTTCCATGGCCGGCTGTATTCCAGCATCAAGAAAGACACGTGAATTGCAATAACTTGCAACATCCTCATGCTTCGAAGACCACGATCCAGCAGAGTTTCATTTCGATCAATACTAAAAATACCAGCCTGGCCATATTTACCCACCTACCAAAGTTACGCCCCTCCCCCAAAGTCGTCCCCCTTGTCTTATCCCTGCCCCCCTGCCATAACACACCCTTCACAACCTTCCCCCCACCCACACGGGCTTCAGATCCGTGACGAAAACCACATGTTGACTCAACGCAAGGAGCGCACCGGACTCATCATAGATCTGCAGGCTCACATCGTAGCGACCGCGCGCGATCTGATACGAGGTGGAGCGGGTCAGAACCCATTCCGTGGCCGGATCGGGCCGTCTCTTGAACTCGATCGACAGACACAGGGTGGAGATGGCGTGCTTGGCGTAGAAGTCGGGGGTATGGGTTGCTGCGGGATGGAGGGGCTATATTTTGGGGGGTTGTGGATTTGCTCACATTAGGTTTTTGAAGAATGTATACGTAGGGGGTTTCTGTGGTGACAATGTATGGGAAAGAGTTGGGGTTGGAAAAGGACAAGGGTGGGGCGGGAGGAAACTAGACTGACCAGGTCCGAGAGGTATGCTAGATGTAGAATGTCGGAGAATTTGGTCCCATCGCGGAAGGAGAGCCATACTTCGCGATTGTGTCCCCCGAGACGATGGCCCCAGAGTCCGTTGGCGGAGCGGGGTGCAACCCAATGCATCTTGCGGGTTACCGGAGTGGCGTCGACAACGGGGTTGTCGATGGTGGTGCATTCTGTTTGTCGGTTGGGTAATGGTGGTCTAATTGCTGCTGCTGCTGCTGCTGCTGCTACTTTTGTTGATGCGGGATGGGGCTCTAGGGTGAGGCCTTGCTCTTTGGAGATATCGGCATAAGTGAAAACGCCAAGGGTAGTGGTTATAAGTAATGGTGATCCTGTTGTGTTCGGGGTTTCTCTCTGGTCCTTTAAAGCAGCAGCAGCAGCAGCAGCACGTTTCAACTCAACCGTGACGACGCATCGTCGAGATGAGGTCCGTGAGATGGCACAGGTAATGGTGCACTCGCCCGGGTGGACTTCCCGGAGAAACTGCACAAAGGCATGCACGGGGTCGGGATAAAGACCATCGCCCAGCTCCTGTTCGAGAAATTTCCGACCAGCGGACAACATGACCGCCGCGGAGAATCCTCCCAAAACAGAACTGTCTCGGGTCAACTCAACTCAGTGGGGAAGGTTGAGGCGCTCGCAAACGCGCGCGCAGCAGCAGCAGCAGCAGTCGGACAGACATACTGTTGAGTGCACCAATCTCGGGTGATTGTGACGGTAAACTGACCTCGCGTCCCTGTCACAGGCGCTACGGATGACACTACCTCCAGCAAACTAGGTTTGGATTGCGGTGGCATGTTGGTAATCAACGAGAGCTGGTTTGATCGCCGGTGTCAATGGTATTAAGTACGAAGTTGTTGCTACTGGGGCAGATTTGGCGGCTGCAGAGACAGGAGGGCGTGCGGACTCGTTCGTGTATTCAGGAAAGAGCAACCGATCGCCTGGGCTGTCTGGAGCCGAACTATGGATTCAACGTGGTTCATATAGGAACCCCGACCAGTCCGGGGTATTGGAGAAGAGGGGGCAGCTCATTGTGTCTTCGACTCTGCATGGATTTGTACCACCCTGTCAAAAGCCTACAACCTGTAGGAGGGGTTTCGCCGGCTTCGTGAAAGACGGAGGACCAGCCATGGGCGACTAGCATGGATGGAATTTGGAATGACGACACTTAGACTGAAGTGAAAGAACCAGTCCCAGACCACTGAGGCATTGACACCTTCTTGAATGCTCCCGGAATTCCGCCGTGCGCCCAACCACGATCCATGGAATGCAAATCGGGAGTCGATTCAGGTTCTGGGCTGCAAAGACTAAATGCGGGAGATCATCTCGGAGAAGAGATTTTTTTGATTTGATTTGATTAGCGAGCCGAGGTTCGTGGATAAAGAAGGAGTTCGATGCGAGGCAACAATCCAGCGTTCAGCCGAGACAACAATGGGGATATCCCAAACAGATTATATGATGTGTGATGTGTGGACTGTATGTGCAGGCAGAGTACAGACAGTACTGTACAGTACTGTAGTCGGAGTAGGACGGCTCTTTATGCATGAAGCTTTCTGAAGGTGGGGAGGGGGCGTCGGAACACAACCGGTCAGGCCGTTAGGTCCATAATTCATAATTATACCACTCGATAATAAGAAAAGATGCGAGGCTGCCTTCTGATTGAGTGCTTGTCCGGTTCCCTTAAGTCCGGACATGAGTAAGTCAATTAAGAGATCGGTTGATTTCGACCCAACTTGACCCTCGAAGTCATTAGAAAATCATCAAATCATCAAATCAACCCGCCGACCGCCGATCACGTGGGCTGACGCGGACGCGGCGCGGTTTTCGCCGCTCGGCTTTTGCTACTTTTTGCCTCTGCCTCTGCCTCTGCCTCTGTGTCTTTAGTCCTATGCTTTTGCTTTTGCTTTTGCTTTCAGGCATTAATTAGTTATTATTTATTTATTCCGTTTATTCGTTTTCCATTTTCATGTAATTTCGTTTGGGGAAAGCGGCGGCGGCCAAACTGGAAATCTCCTGATCCTTCCCTCTATTTTTTTCCTTTTCCTTTCCCTTTCTCTCCTCCATCCTTTCTCCCTCCCTCCTCCCTCTTCTCCTTTTCTTCCCTTCCCCTCCCATCAGGGGCCATTCTGCCCTCCCTCACTTCTCCCAGGATATTGTGCGTGTGCGTGTGTGTGTGTGTGTGTGTCTTTTTGAGAAGAGATCAATCTTACCAGATCAATCTCTCCGAAATGGAGTATTCCGGAACTACGGTCCTGAACCCCGTGCGGCCCGATCACTCCTTATGGGGAAGAAGCACACCGCAATCTCAGATTATCATCAACCCCTCGCAGTCCTCGGCCGCCATTAAGCCCGACCCCATCACTATCCCTATCACCACCACCACCACCACCAACACGACCACCACCATCACCGCTACCGCTACCGCTACTGCCCTGATCATGAATAAAGATTCGCCCTCGCAGTCCCTTTCTCAATCCACCTCGGTCGACAAACCCATTCTGCCCATGGAACCCACCCACCCCGGTCGCGGCAAACAACTCACCATTCCCGAGCAAGTATGTCTTGTCAAACTATGTGCCGCCTCCATGGATGATTACGATGCCCACGCCTACCCCAAGAGTTTCTGGATCAAGATTGCCAACACCCTCGAGATGCGGACCGGCCGTCGCTACTCCTGGCAATCCTGTCGTCGTCGCATCTACACCTACGTCGCCAAACGCTCCGCTTACTATGAATCCTTCCGACAAGGTCGCCCCCATCCGACTATCGACATTCCCAAGGAAGTCCTCGGCCTGTTGAACCATTGGATCAGCGACATTGACCGGGCCAAGTACACTGAGAACCGCCCGGCCGAGGAAGTGCGGACCAAGCCCAAGCCCGTTGCTCCGGTCGCTGCACCCGTGCACAAGGAGACTCCCACGGCCCAGCCCGCGGCGCGGATTACCCTCCCCGAACATGATATGGTGGTCACCATGAACCGGGTATATACCTGGCTCCGGAATCTCCCACCCCCGGAGGAGATGGAGCAGATGGCGATGTGGGGCGAAGAACCGAAGGTCGCTGCCGCTCCAGTGCGAACACGGGGTGATATATTCGCTGCCTTCGCTCGCCCACTAAGCCGAGATACCACCCCGCAGCAAACGCACCGGTCGCTCTTGGGAGTCGGGGACCGCCTCGGTCAAACAACTGCCCAGCGTTTGGCGGAGGAAAGAACCAGCTCCCCCTCGCAGGCAATGGCTCCGCGGTCATCGTCTATGGCTCTCCACCAGTCCTCTCTGGGTCACAATCCTCTCAAGAGACATCGGGACGCTGATGATGAGGGCGCCTGCGACCGTCCCGCTCAACGTCTTCGCGCCTATCCCGATGGCAATGCTGCCGCCTTGAACACGGCCCTTGGTGGATCCGTGGACAAGTCGTTACTGGTGTTCCGTCACAAGATGAAGATGATCGAAGAATGTATTGAGTTCACCTTCGGCAAGATCATCGACCGAATCTCCCCGGGTATGGGACGACAGGAGACCAAGCCGCCGGGGTTTCCGGGAGCGTGCGAGTCGATCATTAATGATCTTTTCAAGGACGTGGGCATGTCTGTTGCCCGGGCCTTGTTGCGCATTGACAAGGCATCTGCTGCAGAACGTGCAGCCACGAACACGAACTAAAATCGATCGACATATCGATACACACATACGACATTCGTACATATATACCTTCATGATGATTGAGTGATATGAGGTTTCTTTACGTCTATACCTGATCTTTGGCTTAGCTTGATTCACCGTTTCAGCACGCTACATTTTTTTCTCATTTCCTAATTTGCATTTCAAATGGGTGGCTCTCTGTCTTAGATGTTGTTGGTTTACCCTTTTGCATTGTTCATCGCATTTACCTTTCATCTGTTCTCATGAGCATCAAATTGCCTAGAGATACCCATTTCCTTGCAGCTTGAGCATTGGCTTTGCGTCGTTTACGATTATCTTTGATGTTTTCGTTATGGTTCAAAATTTAGGCATCGTTTGTTTTGGATTTCAGTCGCAAATATAGCATAGCATGCATATTTACCCCACAGACTGATCAGAATGAGGTAATTGGACTTGGACTTAATTTCACCGATCCGACTTGCTAGTGATGGTTCCATGAGTGGTGGCATGATTTTTCAATGTTCTGTAGTTCGAGTAGCAATGTTGGCATGAAGAAGGTTTTCATCGGGGTATCGGGGTTTTCTCGATCTTTGGTCCAAGTTCGAAGAATATCCCGATTTCAGTGTGCCCTGGCCTCCGCCCTCACTGAACATCTCTTCTACCTCCCTGGGGTTCTTGCTGCATGTCTCAGGGTATCTGAAGATAGATTTCAGTTTCTCCTGCGACATGGATCAGAACAAACAGAAAAGCCAACAAGACTTACGTTGAAAAAAAGAAATAAAGAAATAAGATAAAATAAAGAGCTGCTCAGCTGCTCAGATACGCGGGGCCTCCTAGCACGATGAAGAGCCTTTCTCTCGGTCAGCCCCGCGCGAAATTGAAGAGCCAGTGATTGCCATTGATGTTGACCATACACACTTCATGGCTAGGCAACCAATCTGACACAAAGCCCATCATACTTGGTCTGAACAAGTACCAAGCCACAGCTGAGCAGTGATTCTACTTTGCGAAAGCTGGAAAGACGAGAGCCAGGATCAACCGGGCGACACAGTCCCCAGGCGGACATGCTAGCGTGACATCATTATTTCGTAAGACGTCTGGTCAAAGTTGGATTTGCGTTTTGCTTCCCCGCCTTGCGCTTGACCTAAAAGGAAGGGATAGGGTAAATCGTGAGGTAGTCGATTATGAGCCCAGGTGCATTCTCACCGCACGTCTAGTAGTGAGTGTTCATATGGAAGCACTGCGCTGCAGCATATTCAAAGTGTGTACTCTTTGCAAACTCTCCATAATTCTCGAGCTTTCGTGGTACCTTGGCCTGAATGGGACCATGTGGACGGAATGTGCCAGTAGAGGCTCTTGATCGCAAGAGGCATCGATGCGATGAATACACCAGAATGCATGAATTGCTTTGAGTGCTTTCCTCCCAGATTAATTGAAAGTGTTAAAAATAAACAAGGGAGGTTGTGTTGACTGTGCTGAAGACCCAAAAGGTCTCATGCGATCAAACGAAGGAGACGCCCGCGAGGTCGTGGACACACTGGCAAAGGCAATCAATGGCAAAGAGTGATCCATTGATCGATGATCTCCTCCATATCGTGAGCGATGCCCCACTGAGAAAACAAGCAGCGGAACAACTTCTGTAACGAGTTCATCTCATACAGCAAATTGCGCACCGCCCCCATTCCTGGAGGAGAGTCGGTTCGTCCCTCCTCCACAAAACGGCGAGTCTCTGACCCAGTCGAGGGGCGAAGGGTGTCACATCCAAGGTTCAGATCAGCCCTCGAGAGCAAAGCGTCTTGCCAGACAATAGTACGAGGAAGGTGGATATTGGTCACCCCGGCGAGCGAGAAAACAACGTAAATTGTCGTTGCAGAGAACAGGGAGCTGGGCATGTGAATGACATGAGCACGTCCCCTTGGCAACTGCTCGACAATATCCTGGATCGCAATCGCGTGCAGCAATGCGCGACGAGCATCTTCAGTGTTGACCCATTTGACCATATCGAACCCAGGTCTCATTGTCCGAGAGCCGCCGGAGACATGCTGTGTGATATCGTAGCGAGAGCAAACGTGTCTGCAAAGAATGGTGGAATTGATCATCGTGTCCAAGCAGATTGTGTGCCAGCGGAGGAGGACCTCGAGTCTCTCCGGGGCCGAGAGGTGGATGCTCATGGTGATGGTCTCATGCACCTGAGCTAGCGCCCTACGAACGTCAGAGCGGCCAGGAACACCGACAGCCGCCAGATCGCTTTCGTCGGAATCTGAGACCAAAGACTGCAACCCTTCCAGAACGACCCGTAGGGCGAAGGCTGAGAACTGATAATCCAGTGGGCGAAAACTGCCGATGGGAGGGAAAAGGGAGCGGAAGACTAGTCGGAATGAAGGCTGCTCCGATCTTTGAGTTCGCATGGTAGCAATCCACTCATCCACATTACTGGCATCGAAAGCAGCTTCACTGCTGGGCAGAATGAGTGGATTGGCCACGTGCCGTGTGGATGCGCCATCTCCAGACATCTGCGCAACCAGTCCATCTAGAATGTGGTAGGCAAGTAATGCACGTTGTTGAATCTCCCTGGCTGCCCATGTCCGCCACCTATTCTCCTTCTCACTGTTCGGTGCGCTGGGGAATGGCACGCTCTCCATTGAAAAAGGCTCGCAGTCTAGCATACCGCAATGTCTTGCCCAGAAGAAACCGAGCGGGCGAAAGACCTGGCTTGTGGTACGGATCACTCGATTCTAGTAACAACTAGTCAATCATATATTACTTTGAAGAAACCAGTTGGGCCACATACCTTAGACAGAGCACCATATATTTGTCCCAAAAGAGCTGTGAGTAGGAGCTGAACTCCTTTGCAAGCATCATATGGACCACTATGTGTGATCAAGGACTGCCACTACAGCTTCGTGAGCAAGATCTCCTTCGTCATGGCAAAAGCACGGCTTACAGAAGTAGCAATAGCCGTATGGGCCAGGCGCCATAGCGCCTCTCCCTTTGCTACGGAATCCTTGGGGCCTAAGTACAGGGACCCAAGTGCCATAGCGTTGAGTAGCAAGGGATGTGTGCATTCCCGGAAGACAAATGTTGCTCGGTGCAGAATGGGAAAAGTGGGTATGAATCGCACAAAGAACATGTGAAGGCACTCGTCCAGGAAGACCGATGTTATTGAAGTCGCTTTGATGGCTGCTGTCACGCTCGATGACTATCCGTCATGATTTAATGGATCAGCTTCGAGTAAGAATGAATGGAATCGGATATCCTCACCGAGCTTGTAACCATTTCTGTAACATCTCGCACAGCCTGGTGGCTACCACCTGACGGGATAGCGCCTATAGATGAACCTCTGTCGTCGAAGGAGTTTGGCGAACCAAAGTTCATCCCATTTACATCCTGCACAACAGGTGGAAAGGGCAGGGCACCAAGTGGCATCTGCCACTGATCAGTCGTATCACAAGCCATGATGCTTTGAAACAGATTTTCGGAATCAGGCCATATTAGTGTGAAGTCGAGATCGGAGGCTGCATGCTGTAGGCCGGGCTGTGACTCCGGTTGTGTTGTCTCCCAAGCATTATTGGGTGTCGACGAGGACACCACCGCGGGTGCGGTAGTTCGATGGGTGTCCCAGGCTAGAGCATCCAGAGGCGACGCCTGCGGTGGCACATGCCCGGCGGACTGTTGTACTTGAGCCTGCTTGGCATTTGTAGCACGGACGTGAAGCTTTTCATGCCGAGTAAGAGCATCCTGGCGTGCGAAAGGACGTCGGCATTCTTTGCAGACAAAAGGCTTCGATCCCGTATCTTGTAAACTCTGACGTTAGCACACACACTCAAGAAGACAAGGCTGCACGTGTGATGAACGAGCGAATATATTGCAGGTCAATGGTTCATAGGAACGCATGATGCCACCTATTGTATGCCAGTACAGCTTGAGTCAGGGGTGCTTACGACATCGTTCGTGTCTCTACATACTAGAATTAGCTATAGTCATTCCACTACAAAAAGACCTTCAAGATACGAGATCCTGGGGAGGAAATACCCTCAGGTGTTCAGCCTTGGAGAAGCCCTTCTCACAAACACGACATACCAAGGCCTTGGTCGTGGGTGTAGTGGTAGTGGGCGAGGATGTGGAGGTGGATGTGGTTTGTGGCATAATGGCCGGAGGGGGGAGGGGAAGAGATTGCTTGGTAGCAGCCAAGGCAGCGCAGAGTAACTAAGTTAAGATATGCTGTATCACATCTGCACCCACAATTGAGTAGGCAGCAACAATCAACTAAGGTAGTCGAAGGAGCCAGCCTTCCACAACAACAAGATGACGACGAGAGACCAGGAGGGCCTTGAGCAGGGATGAAGATGATCGATCGTGGAGAGAAAGAATATAGCATCCAGGCTTCGGGGGGGGGCGCGGAGAGGAAAAAGTGTGGGGCAGACAGTGAGGGAGCGAAGAAAGTGGCAAACAAGCAAACTGACCTGGACTTTTCCCAACTGAGCCAGGCACGTGGAGAGGTAAAGTATGTGCAGTACCGTTCTGATACCGTACGGTATTGCGGCCATTCTAACAGACCTCGGGATCTCTGCTTCAAGAACAATCCCGTCTTCACTTACCGATGGAAACGAACAGTACAAACTAGTAATCGGCTAACTCCAGACTCCAGATTGGCTTCTCCATACTTTCCACTCTTCGCTTCTCCATCTCTTCCCAAGTTGCGATAAGTCCATCCTCATGACTCTTCGGCATTACTAATTCAATTACGGAACACTAGCTGGTCAATAACTAGACTGACCTGGACGAGATTGATGGGAAATCAAAAAAGGTCGAGACTGCATGGCCGGCCCCCCTTACATCCATGCTAACAGCCGCTGCATAGGTGCGTGGAGTTCTCTTCCGGCCGAACTCGCAGGTACCACACCCCACAAGTTCTCTTTCTTTCCAGAAATACTCACACCTACCGGGGCCAATTTGATCGACTTGTTGTCTGCCACCACTGCCATGATCATCATCACCACCACCATCGTCGTCATGCAGACCCCGATCCTGCCTCTGGTCGAAGCTGAATGGATCATAAATGCGGAGTATTTTATTCTCGGTGGAAACGAAAGGTGAACCAAAGAAGCATTAGCCGAGCTCAGAAGGCAAATCAGCACATTTGCCATGACTCCTCCCACTCAGGCCGGCATCCACTCCAAAGAACTTATCCCGTCCCTGTATGACCTAATGGGTCCCTTGCTGGAGAAAGGCCTTGTGAAGTTGGGTTTGGGGTTCTCCGGAAAACCCGGACTCGGGTCCTCGGCTATGCTTTGGACCTGATAGCACACTCAGTTCTTCGGTCCAGCCAATGAACTATGCCGCACTTCGAGGGTGACAGACCGAGTCGCCCATTGCCGTTACTGCGACTCGCCATTTTGTGGAATCCCCTCCGCATATCCCCCAATACTTGCCCCAGTAGTAAGCGGGACTCGTCATTCAGTTAGCTTTGCCCCGGGGAGGAGATTTGCTGACCCCAGCGATAGGCCGAAGCCCCAGACTGCGTGGAGCCTCGCCCTGAATTTCTCCCCTCTGACAGGAGTACCGTGGACTGTTCGCATAATCCTGTGAAATCCTGGCACATTCCTTGTAGGCCTCAGCAAATCGCCCTTCCACTCTCTTCATACCTGTCGCCCATTGTTCAACAATCTCAAAAATCCAGTGACCGATACTCTTCAACACCAAATCAACTGTTCACCGATTCCCTTACCCTAAACATAGGGTCTCCCATCGAGATGACCGGGTCACACGAGATGCAGCCGTCTCGCACGGCTGTTGACCCCCCTACACCTGCCAAAGATGATGTCGACTTTGTAGAAAGCACCGAGTCCGGTATTCCGTCAACGTATGCCGATATTGCAGCATCACGTCTCTCCAAAGCCCATCGTGATTACCTGCTCGAACGCCATGGCACGTTGGAGCTCGACCCTATGCCTAGCATGGATCCTGCAGATCCCTATAACTGGCCATCATGGAAGGTTAACATCCCGCAACTGACTGGCTTCTGACTATGTGTGAACCCTTGGCTGATGGGATAATTATCCTGCAGAAAATCGTCAACCTTCTTCTAGTTGCATTCCACGCGTGCATGGGAACTTTTGCTGCTGCAGGCATCATTCCCGCCTATGAGACGTAGGTATCCCTCCGATCCGAAGACATCCGGATTACTAAATGACGTCCAGGATATCGACCGAGTACGGTGTTTCTATCAATGATGCCAGTTACATGACATCCATCCAGATTGCAGTCCTAGGCGTGGCTCCTTTGGTCTGGAAACCCCTGTCGAATCGATGGGGCCGCCGTCCAGTTTTTTTGCTATCCCTAATTTGCAGTCTCATCTGCAATGTAGGGTGTGCTGAAAGCACGAGTTATTCGTCTCTTGCAGTTTGTCGTGCCTTGCAAGCGTTCTTCATCTCTCCCGCGTCGGGTAAGCTTGCTAGTATCGCTCCGACATAAGAGAAACCAGACAAGCTAACAGACACGGAAGCTATCGGAAGTGCTGTAGTGATGGAGACAACATTCAAGAAGGACCGCGCCCGGTACATGGGGATCTGGACACTGTTGGTCACTCTGGGAATCCCGAGCGGTCCTTTCATCTTTGGATTCGTTACGTATCGGATAGGTTACCAATGGATCTATTGGATCTTGGCCATGGTAAGTTCCTCTGTGATTCGCATAAAGCCCAAGGAGATGATTGGCGGATGGCTGACAATTCAACTTCGCATCAATTAGATCAACGGAGGTCAATTTGTCTTATACCTCTTCTTCGGCCCGGAAACGCGGTATGTCGGGGGTGATTATGACACCAGTAAGCCTGCGTGGGTGCGAGAGTACGTTCAGCTGCGACGGATCGACCCCACACCTTTGTTGCCATGGGACTTCATTAGACCGCTGGGCATGTTCACGCACCCTTGCGTTGCCATACCAGCAGCTGCATACGCCATGATCTTCTGTTTGAGTAACGTCATGACCACGGTTGAGGTTCCGGCCTTGCTGCAGACCAAGTTCGACCTGAACGCCGAGCAACTGGGTCTCCAGTTCCTTGGCCCCATCGTTGGCTCCCTCATCGGCGAACAGCTGGGCGGTGTCTTGTCCGACCGTTGGATGAGACTGCGCGAAAAGAAGATTCATCGCAAGCCTCAGCCCGAGCATCGCCTGTGGCTCAGTTATGTCGGCTTCCTCTGCTCAATTGTGGGCCTCGTTGTTTTCCTGGTTTGCACCGAGCAGTCCAAGGAGGGACACTGGAATATCAGGCCTATTATTGGCATTGCCATCTGTGCCGGTGGCAACCAGATCGTAACCACCGTCCTCATCACCTATGCCGTAGACTGTTATCACACCGAGGCGGCCAGCATCGGAGTTTTCATCACGTTCGTCCGTCAAATCTGGGGTTTCTTGGGTCCGTTTTGGTAGGTCGCAACCATGGTCATTCTTCTGTTGCTAAGGTACTAATCGAGGCTGTTCAGGTTCCCATCCATGTTCGAACACGTTGGAGTTGCCGCCAGCGCTGGAGTATGCGCCGCTCTCATCATGGGTGTCAGTTTCATTCCGATCGCTCTCGTTCACTGGCAAGGACGATCTTGGCGTCCGGCCACGGGCGAGTAAATCGTCTCCATCATTCTTTGGCTATACCGGACACGACTATCAATGGCATGACTTGCGGAATATTGAACATTGAAGCGCTAGAAGCTTAGAAGGTTAGATATAGATCGGATCTCGAAGGCCAATCCTCGCGAACTGCAGGGTTGGGCGAGAATTTGTAAATAGAGCATAGATAGGCAGCGAACAAGGAATGGAATCACCATAGAGCATCATGAAGAAGAAGAAAACAAAGTCACTCTGAATAGAGTGAATGAGAAAAAAAAATCGAACTTTGATGTTATTTCCATAGAACCAACGATATACACGTGCTAGGCGGATAAAAGAAAATAAAATCCTAAGGGGAGGGAAAGAAGAAAAACGGAGGAGGGGAGAAAAGACTTTATCCCGGAGCCTTATAGGAAAAGATCGGGGGACCTTAGCCAGCATCAGATAGATTTTATCTGTTGTAGACTACAGAAGATAATTTAATTGACTCCTCCCGGAGTACTCCAGGCGTCCGGTTTTTTTCCCGCCGACCCTCAACCGGCATCAAACCACCTAACATCGGCAAAGCGAAAAGAAGAAGGGCCCCAAGTCAGGCCACGCTTACATGGGTTTTAGCGCCGGACCGGCTGCCCGATCAAACAACTTCTCGGGCTGTTGTTGGCGGGCTCGGGAAGAACCACCGGCAATAGGGAATGCTTTCTTATTGACTGTGTTCCCTTTCACTTACTATGAGGGTTCAACTTGAGTCATACGATATTGAATTCATGAAGTGGTGTTGATACCATGAGCATGGATCCGGATATTGTAAAGCAGGCGAGAAGAGCTGCTGATGTTGATTGCCTGAGGTTGGTTGGTTCAACTTGGTTGGTTCCGCTATACCTCCGCCCTCCGCAAGCTCAAGCTCAAGCTCAACCAGCTCTTTTGCCCACCTACTGGTTCTGCCGACGGGTATGAGATCTTCCGCCGGATGTTTCCTCAACCCTCCAGCAGTGCCTGTCATTTCCTAGAACATGCGCATAGCCTCTTGGGATTTCTGAACTTGTGTCTCAAGACTGAATCTGAAAATGAGAGGTGATATGAGAATATATGACTGGTGGTCGAACTGTACAGTACTAGTTATTGTGATCAAGCTTCGCAAGGGGGTTATTTAAGCATTATGCGGCTGCCTGTTGTGGTTTCTTGAGTGATGTCGAACTATTGAGGTGTTGCAGGTTGACTTCCAACCCAGCTTCGGTGCTTGGACCTCTGTGGGGAGAAGGGTGAGTCAGCGTGGGGTGCGGGGGGG